ATCAAAGTAAACCATAGTCCACATACAAGCCAAAATATGTAATTGAAAATTCTGTCAAATGAACAACCTTACAATAAGACATAACAGCAGAAATTCGAAACACAATAATCAGATCATTGACCAATGTAGAATTAAGCCTTAATCATCTTAGCAAACAAAAAAGATGCCTACGTCCATATATACGGAAACAAATAAACAAATTATATCATATATATATATATATATATATATATATATATATATATAACTCAAGGAAAATTAAGTAACAGTACCTTCAAGAGTCCGAGGAGAGACAGAGAGCATCGAAGTGAGTAATGCAGAGGCAGTGGCGGTGTGAAATGGAAGCATCGATTCAACGGCGCAGCTCATCTCAACTGGAGACCTGTTTCTGCAATAATAATAATAATAATAATAATAAAAAAATGGAAACCTGTTTAATATACTGGATAAATCATTTCTGAAATTTTGATTTACTTATGAATTGTATAGAGATACAGTATAGTTTATGAGAATATAAACATACACGTGTGTATATATAAGAGGCCTGACCTGAAAATGCGAGAAGGGAGGGGTTTCTGCGTGGGGATGGGAAAGGGAGACCGTGCGGGTTTGGGTTTAGGTTTAGCTCCGGCGGTGAGTCTTATCGCTGCGCATCGGCGGAGTTGGAGCGGACGACGGACCTGGCGGCGGCGGTGAGGGCGGCTGACATGGTTGCACAAATCGTAGAGAGCTTTGGTTTGGGGGCGAGCGAAATCAGGGTTTATTTCGAGGGTTTAGTACATATACTGTATATGCACTCGTATAGAAAGATCGTATCTCTAATCTTAGCATGTTACACGCGGCTTTTTATTTTTGTTTGAATTATATTATCGTAATATAACCCATCTTTTTTCAAAGTCCAGCCCAATACAATGTCAAGATAAAAATCCTAACCATTTGAGCCCGAACTCTAGCCCATTTCGAAACAGTAGCCCAGCAGGTACTAGCCCATAAGACGCTTTCCCAGAGTCCAAGGTGCTGGGCTTGGGTTACATGAAATATCTTCAGGATCGGTCCGTTGAAAGCCTAGTTGGCTCTGGCCTGGCTTTCCAAATCTACATGTTGGCCCCTTTTTTGGGGAAGGTTGCCCAATAAAATGTTTGGAACTGGTGAACCGAACCGTCGGTTGGTTCTTGTATGGTTTCCAAAAATAAGAAACAGTTTCATTCTAATTTCAGGTCCATTAAAACTAAACCAAATCGTAAACTAAATATATATATATAGATATATAAATTGTATGTATGAAAAATAAGTGTGAGCCTTGGCAAGATTTTTTTTTTTACTCTTATTATATAAAATTGTATGCATTTTATATTTTAATAGTAGCTGTGCTTATCAATAAGGTACAATCCAATAGCTTTCATTCATTAAAGGCTATGTAGATGAGTGGTATCTCCTCTACTTCTTAACTTGAGAAAAAGCTTTCATTTAACGTTACATATTCATTATTGAAACATGAGTTATAATTCAGTTAGTGAAGTAAGTTATAATAAATGACAAACTAGTGTTATAATAATATTGTGATAAAATTTCAAACTTTACCAAAATTTTTAACATTATTGAAACATGAGTTATAATTATTACAATGTAGTGACAAAATTTCACAGTTCGCCAAACTTTATAACATTATTATATGTAACGTGAGTTATCATTTATTGTAATGCATTTCACTAACTGGATGAAACAGTATGAGAACTCACATGAGAGGATATTTGTCCACCTTAGAGGTTTAGTTTAAGCTACTTGATGCATCTAAGGAGTGAAAATTCTCTCCAATGACTTGTACAATGCATCGAAGATGGATGAAAATATGTTCCCGCTTATTCTTATTCCATCCGTCCCTAGTGCACAAATTTTTTTTTTGGTTCGAATGAGAGGGCTCATTTCATTAATGACCATAAAAAGTAGCAACAAATGATATTTGGAATCTCACTTCTTGGATTGGAAACTCTTTCTGAATGAAACTACTGTCCGGTTTAGATTTACTGGGCAATCAAATGATGATAAATTCTGTCACTTCAACAAGGCATGTAAACTAGCTGTGATTGTGCAATATGATGCATCTAAATTACATAATTTTCATAGGACATTCTTATTCCAACTTCTCACAACCACTCCATATCAACAACAGCTCAAGTAAATTAAACTAGGAGATAAAATAATTCAAGTCACTTTACAACGTTCCTAGATCCTCTATTGTTACGGTACCGTGCTGTAGGGTTTTTTAACACAATTGAATATCTTTCCAATACATTAAATCTACATATTTCAGTTGTAACGACCCGAACCCGATGGTCCAAATCGCTAACCGAGTCCTTACTCGAACCCGAGGTCGTCTAAGAGCACTATGGTCAATTTCAAGGTCGATACATAATAATAACTACAAAAAAATAATAATAGTAATAAAAGAATTGAGATCATAGCTACAAAATATGCCCAAACAGTCCACTAACCCATCAAAACTTGTGGAGGAGTGTCGTCCACTACTTCCTTCCCGTGTCCTGAATTTTTTTTAAAGGGGTGAGCATAAGCTCAGTAGGAAGTGTCGAAGACACACTTCTTATAACTCCGTGAATTCACATAAGGAATAGAGTACAAGTAAGTGGGGTCATGCCTCTGAGAAAACAAGCAAAACAACGATAATACCAACAATGTATACTCAAGTCGTCTAACCACCAAATGTACAATGGATGCCAATGCAATGCCATGCCATGCAATGTCGCTCCCCATTTCCAAAACGATACCGTTTCAATCCTCCAAACCGTTAGTACAATCCGACCCAAGGCACCTCCAAGGCATCACGAGGGAGGGGTTGGCTAGCTTTCCCTGTCCACATAACACCTCCATGGCATCATCTGGGCCTAGGTAGCTCAACCACACTAGAGTCTCTCTCTAACCCCCCTTTAGATCACACAGCACCACGGACAACTAGGCGCCTCCTAGACGTCCAGGTTTTCACAACACTTTTCAAAAACTTTTTCCCAAAAACAATTTCATTTGTTTTAAAAACAAATTTTTCTCTTTTTACTTTCCCAATGATAAAGCATGAACTATGCAAATCCTTCAATGCCATGACAATATAAACATTTCCTACATTTCATCCACATCATTCAAGCATGCTTAAAATGAATTCCCACACAATATCACATTCTCATACTTTCTAAATCATGACATTTTATATATTTTCAATTAGCAAATCCAACGACTTAAATAGATAAAGCATAAAATATAATCATTCATTTTCATAATTACTACATCACTTTTCATAACAATTTGAAAATATAGGCATATAATACATCAACACTAAGAATGCTTATTCACAACAAAAGGTTTAATCATATTTCTAAGCTCACTTAATACCTAGCATGCCTTAATCACTTAAATACCAACAACCACAACAAACATTATAAAAAAAAATTTAAATTTAAGCATGCTTAGAGTCTAATTAAAAGAAAACTTTACAAGAAATTTAAGAAATTGTATATTAGAGCATCCCTACCTCAAAGGATGCAAAAACCCCAATTCCAAGCCCAATTTTCGAAAATTCTATTGTGATGAAATTGCTTATATCAACTTAAAGATCTCGCCGAGCTCTCTGTTTTGCCGCAAACGGCACCAAAAATCTCTAATAAATGAGAGAGAAATCAAAGTCTAAAGCTTGAAGCAAAAAGGAAAAGAAAAAGAAATAAAAATGAGGGAGAGGGAGCTTTTACGGGGAGAGAGAAAATGAGGGGTCAAATGGCCTCTTGGCCATGCAAATGTGCATTAGTGGTGGGTCCCACCAAGAAAAATCCTACTTTGACTTTTCTTTTCTTTTTAAAATTTACTACCACATATATACATATTAATATATAAAAATCACGAACATTACATTAGTCAGATTTAATGGACTCAAAAACAAAATAAATGTGTTAACAAATTACAGCACCACTACAGTAGAGGATCCAGGTAGGGATGGCAACGAGGGCGGGTTTGGGCGGGTGTACCCTCCCTCGTCCCCGTAACAGTTTAAAAACCCCACCCCTCGTCCCAGCCTAAAACTGCAAAAACGGGGGGACTTTCCACCCCATTCCCGCAACCGTTTAACATTTTTACCCCCGCGGATACTCGCCCCGCCCCATTTAAAACCATAAATTATTTATTGTTGAAATAGATTTGCTCTTTTTTTTTTTTTTTTTTGGTCCCCTCATCTTCAGTTTTTCACCATTACAACTTTCCTTCTAATCAAATTTATTTGTTACTTTAATATTATTATATAGGGTACTTAATATATATACTGAGAAATATATACTAATGAAATAAGGGTACTTAAGTAATTTGTCTATCTAAACGGGGCGGAGTGGGGCGACCTCGCCTTGCCCCCGCACCAAACCTGTTCCCATACCAAACCCGTGCGGGTTTTTATTACGTCAAATTATCCCCGCTCAAATAAGCTAAACGATCCCCTAAAACCGCCAAAAAGGGGACGGGACGGGAAAATTTTATTTTTTCACAGGCAAGTTAGAGTTGAAATTTTATAATTACATGCACAACCCCACATAAGTCAATTTTTAGAGTAGTTGGTAATAACATGTCATCGATTATACCATTTTCCTTATTGTTATAAACTCAATGTAAACCAAGAATGAGTAGTAAATAGGTATAACACTCGTCCTTGTGTCAGATTTTTGCAACTATTGAACACCTTTGTAGCTCAAGCGCCCAAAAAACTAAACATTAACCCCTCTTCCCATGAAAAAAAAAAAAGAAGAAGAAGAAGAAGAAGAAGAAGAAGAAGGTGAAACCTTTCCTTAAAAATGGAAAAGAATAGCACAAGAGGGCAGTCTTGGCGTTCGATTCACAATTCTTCACTACTAAAATCTTGAATCATTGACAATTTATCCATAAAAAAAGACACCTAATCTTATTTTCAATACTTCAGAAACGAAACCCCGAAAATTATTCTTAAATACCAGCTCCAATAAATTCCGAATTATATCAGAAACTAAATATAAATAAAAAGTAATTCTCAATTGTAAAGTCAAGCAGCCGCAAAACATCCAAGAAGAGCATGCATAGAGTTCTAAAGCTGAGAGTCATTGCTACAATTTGTAAGCTACCCTATTTTCCGGGAAGAGCGTGTTTCCTGGCTTTTTGGGTACAAGGAATGCAAGCTACTTCTTCGACGATTCTAATGGCAGGATTTGTATGCTAGTGTTTTCTTCCCTTAAAAACCACGCAAAAGAACAGGTGATATGATATCGTGATCAATCACATTCATCTCTGTAGCGCGGCCACATGACAAATATTACAATTGCTGGAGAATGTTGACATGCCGAGCTAGGTTGTCACTGATCAGCGGTAGCAGGTAGCGGCTGGAGTGCTTTGAGAGGATTCATGATAACACCGTCAATGAGCCCATAATCTTTGGCTTCTTTTGCGCTCATGAAAAAATCACGATCAGTGTCCTGGTTGATCTTCTCGAGACTTTGACCAGTATGGTAGGAGAGGTACCCATTTAAGTTGGCCTTATGATGCAACATCTCATTTGCCTAGGAAGGGACAAAGAAAATAGTATAGGCCTGGTTATGCATCTCGACAATTGTATATATAAGAAACATACATCAAATCGTGGTCAAACAAAACATCATCTAGTGCTATGTTTGAGAGCACCGAATTGGCAGCTTAGATTTAGAATTGGGAAAAATTTAGTTAAAACTTTGAATTAAAATTTCACCAATTCCAAATTTAAAATAGCAAAAGATCCATGGTCAGCAATTAAACTAGATTGACATTTTATTTCATCACGAGTTACTGTAGACACGAGAATACACAAAAGTGCTAAAGGAATAATACAATGCCAACTGAACACCATCCACTGAATAGGATAAAGCAAGAAAGGATTAACTATTGAATGCAAAAGAAAATGCAAACGGAAGCAACAAATATTAAGAGATACGAAATGAACAAACAATTGAATACAATAGGTGCACTTGAAAGATGATAAGAGTATCAAGGGAAGGATGGTTTTCAGAGCTTGAAGAAGGTATATGATAGAGTGCCAAGGGATGTAATTTGGTGGGCTCTATGAAGAAAACAAGTCTCTGTATTCAGGAGACGTATAGAGACTAGAGATTTTTCTATAAAAGTAGGAATGCACCAAGGCTCAGTATCAAGTCCATATTTAAATAAAGTAGTTTTATATGAAATAAGGAAGAAAATCCAAGAGGACATTTCTAAAGAATCCTTAACAACAAAAGTAGAAACATGGCAAAATGCCTTAAAAGCGAAAGGCCTAAAAATAGTAGGACTAAAAACACAATACAAGGCATGTAAGTTTAATAAGTAGTACAGGATGCAAATACAGCTGTCATAATCCGAGATCAAAGGTTTATACTTTATTCCAAATGGCTATTTTTAATATTTAGGGCCCATAATACAACAAGATGAGGAGATATATAATGATGTAATGAGTAGGATTGGAGCAGAGTGGATAAAATGGAGACAAGCTAGTAATATTTCTGTGTGACAAACTAATACTAAATATAGGACATTTATTAAACCAACTAACTATATGGAGTAACTAGATGGGCGTTAAAAAGAAACAATAACAATAACACAATCGTGTAGCTGAAATGAGAATGTTGAGAAGGATGACAAGAGTGGCTTGGAAAAGATAAGATTACTAATAAACTTGCGCGAAAATATTTAGGAGTGACACCTATTAGAGAGAGAGTAGGTGGTATGGTCATCTACAAAGGCGACCCATCTAGATCTATTTGCATAGAAGCTAATAGACAAAGAAGCCAACCAAAATTGACTGTGGGACGAGGTATTGAGAAATGATTTTAAAAATTTAAATATAATAGGAGGGATGACTGGTAATAGAAAAGAATGGAAAAAGAGAATTCACATGACTGACCCAATTCATATGGTATAAAGGCAAGGATGATGATAATGATTATGATAACTTGAACAAATGAATGCCACAAAAAATACGTACGAACAAATAAATCTAGCAATGTACCCAATCTTTGAACATTTGGACGCACCACCCATGTCCTAATATTACAGAAGAATGTGGCTTTAAACTACTCATAAACTGCCCATATACCCATTCCTTGAGAGACTTAACATAAACCCCCCATCAAACCTACTAGTACAGTGTGCATCAGAAGCACAACACACTTTGTGCTTTTACTCCCACGAGGTTCTTAAAAAATTATATTCAACAGAGCAATTGACTATCTGGACTGTAATATTTTCCTTTGGAACTCTCACACATTTTTACCCATAGAAAACTATCAAAGCATAATACATAATTTGGCATTTATTTCAGGGATGGCCAATTTTAAAAGGGGAACTATTGAATGATTGGTTGATTTTGTCCCTTAAAGTGCTGAACTCCTAAAAATCTGAAGTTGCTCCAGATGTTTATATATTTTATGTAGCTGCTAAACGTAAGACCCTGATTTTGAGGAGCGGAGCACAAGGAAATGAATACATGATGCAGTTTGGGTTCCTCTATGTCTAATACCTTCTATGGATCACTATGGCTTTGCTAAAATAAAATTGGTAAGATGCAAGAACTAAAAACAAGCAATTCACCTGAATGTCTATATCGGTTTGCCCACCTTGCGCTCCACCAAGAGGCTGATGGATCATAATCCTTGAGTTCGGCAAGCTGTATCTTTTCCCTTCATTTATTGTCATTACAATTTTTATAAAAAGATATTTAGTCAAATAAGATTAAAAATGCAGTTCCTGTAGAAAGACTTCCATTCATTGGTAAAGTGTCACAAATGTAGCTTACCTTTGGTTCCAGAACTAAGAAGAAAAGCACCCATGCTGCAACGAAAAAGTAAACCATGGTAACAAGATCAGTTTATTTACCATTGCAGATATAAATATTGCCACTAACAAGATTAAAATCAACTATAACTAATAAATTTTGAGAAGGCATGCAAAAATAGCCAAACTTGTAATGTGATAGCAGATAGCAGTAACATTAGACAAAATACCCACACTTTCCACACGTAACTAAGCCCATATAATTTAGGGATAGCAATAAAATTAACCGAAGTGTAACTTTGCAAGACAACACACAATCACACAAAATATATAACTACAAGAAACTAGCAGTCAAATTTTTCGATGAGAGCAGCAGCATTTGCTGTCAACCTGGCCACTTTGGGCAATGGACCATGACAAGTTGACAAATATCAACCTGTAATAGTTCAGGCCAAATCAAAGAACAGTCAATCCTACAGTTAATAATGAAAGTTAATGATGAAAAGAAATGACTTTGAATGAAATGAATATTTTTAAGTTGCAGCCTGAGAAAATCAGATCATTTACGCAAGCGTAGAACATCAATTGGAAGTGTGGATCTAAGGGAGGTGCATATATCACATTAAAAAATTTCTCACACAAAAAAGATTAAGGTAAATTCCTAATAATTGGTGCGGTATATAACTAGGAAAAAGTAACAGATAGCTGATAAGTGAGAATCTATATATTGCATTTATCGTATAAACAAAAACTGAAAGAACCTCATAGTTTGCATTTAGTGAAATGCAAATTGATCCATATTACATACAGAGAAAATTGAAAAATAGGAATATGAATTGGTACAAAAGAAAGAGAAAATCTAAGTAAACAATATCTTACCTAGCCGCCAGTCCAACACATACAGTGGAGACATCTGGTCGAATATGCCTCATGGTATCAAATATAGCCATACCTAATGGGATAAGATGCAGCCCATTAACACTAATCCATGCAACTTAACCTCCCAACTACACAAAATTCTAATAAAGCATCTATAAAGGAATCAAAATAGATACTTTTACCGAAAAGGAATTAGTATCACCTGCTGTAACTGATCCTCCTGGAGAGTTCACATACATGACAATATCCTATTTAGAGAATTAAAGAGGTCAAAGAAGTTTAAAAATCTAGAAACAAACAGAGAGAAGTTCATACAGAAGAATGTGAAAAGCATTACATAAGAAGGTATACTGCTACAAAAAAAAAAAATGCTTGACTACTTATGTAAAGAATATAAATACATAGGGGATCGATGTGGTGACAGTCATAAAGTAAATTTGACATAATAATTTATACATTGATAATTATTTGAAGTTCTAAAGACAGACATTTGGTATTCCACCGACCACCAAAGAGAAAATAACCATTGTTTACTCAAATTGACGAGCACTGACCTAAGTCCCACAAGAAATGCCTAGTTATTCAATTTATGACTTATCAAATAGGTTTCTGATATCAAGTCTTCTTAAAATAAAAAGTATGCCACATGTCAAACAATGTTTTATGTTTATTTCTAAACTTACATCACAGTGTCTTTTGCAACATCCACTTTTACTTTCAGGCCATTCAATAAAAAAATACAAAAGAAAGTCAATGAAATTAACCTTGTTCGGATCAACAGCATCAAGATAAAGAAGCTGAGCGACTATAATATTTGCCATATCATCATCAACCGCTCCACCGCAACGTATAATTCTCTAAAATCAACAAAGCAAATGATTCAATGTTTGTCAAAGAACATTAAGTATATCAATGTTCAAACAGTAGCTATCATCACAAAATCCCTACATGTTGGAACAGCTGACTGATCACACTCTGGAAACGCTCTTGTACCATTGGAGGTGGCCCTTGACCTCCTTGTGAATAAGCAGGAAAATACGGCGACGAAGGAACTTGCAAATCATCTCTATAAAATCGAATTCGCAAGATGTTAAAATTAATGTAAAAATCATCTGGTTGCTAAGAAAATGAACTAACGAAATATACAACAAAATTTTGAGATTCAATATCTTCATTATGGGATATTTGACAAATACAAAATCTCAATCCCAAGCCTCATTTTTTGACACAGTTTTTCGCTTACCTTCAGACTTCAGTTTAGTTATGAAGGAGAGATCTCGAAAAGAACGAAAAGGAAAATGATTAACTTTCAACTTCTATATTGTTTTGGTAAAAAATAGTGGAACGTCTTTACTTCTCAAAAAAAAAAAAAATAGTGGAACTTCTTCAAATCCATTTTCCTTGCAACTGAAAATATCTCAGTTTCAGAATTTTAGACTCCAAACAAATTTTCAAAAACCTAAAAGGACTCCAAATTTAATTTTTTTCCCTTTGGGTAATAGACTACAAAATAATCCACAAGACTCAAAATTTCGTTTCCTCTCCGTTTATTTTTATTTTTATTATTTTTTTTTTCCAATATTTATACAGGTTGCAATCCACCAAAAATCCAATCAGAAGAATTCAAAAAAGTGAATTTGAAATTTTGAGTTAAAACCCTACCTTATGGACCAAATCCCTTGCCGGAAACTCCTCTCAGACTCCCAACCGCCGCTAGAATACAGAGCCTTCGCCGGAGAAATTCGCCGATTGTTTTCCCTTCGAACTGATTTCACTTTCCTGTGAATCATAGCAAATATTATACATACACACACACACACACACACACACATATATATATAAACAACATATAAAACATATTATATATACATATATGTGAGATAGCGACAGTACCTTGGGCGAAGTAGCGTGGAGGGAAGAGAGATAGAGTGGGGTTGAGAGAGAGAGGAAGTGTTGTCTGTGGGGATGATGGGAGTACTGAATCTGGGGATTGAAGAAGTTGTGGCGAAGCATGAATGAGCCATTTGTTTGCTGCTTTTCTTTCCGCTGTGGTTTCGCTATATTTAGCAAGGACTGTCAACTAGGATTCCGGCTCAATTTAGCTTAATGGTGTGACGGATAGAGGGAGAGGGAGGGAGAGAGAGAGAGATGAGTGTTCGAGTTTCGAGCGAGCCTCATCAAGAACATTCGTTACGCTAGTGCGTATGGCGCACCGGTGCGCAACATAGAACTCGTATGGTTAGCGTGCGCAGCTGGCTTTCTGAGTTTATACCGGGGTTAACTCGGAAAAATGTTGTGTCTGAGTCGGTTATTGACTCGGTTTCAAACTAAATCAAACCAGTTTGGTGTAATCACTAATCAGGTATGAATCATGATTAAGCCGGAGAAAATTACTCCTCCACCATTGCGGTGTAGCCCAATTAAAATTAAGGGTAAATTGCACCGACACTTTTGAGGTTTTAGTCAATGCTATTCACCAGATGATTAATCACTATTTTTACGTTGACATCCTTTGAAGTTTCTCCAACTCCTGAAACCATATGAAATTACCTTTTAACCATTTAACTTGTTAACAACTCCATTTAAATTATAAATTTACAAATTTAACCTCCTACCTAAATTTAATGGACCAAACTATTCTCTTTATCTCTTCTATACATATAAATATAGTTTATATATAATAATACTTATACCACTATAACTAACACCACAACATAAAATAAAATAAAAATAAATAAAACAAGATAACTGTAAACACCTAGAACCACCACCACCACCACAGTAAAAAAAATAATAATAAAAACAGTTATGGCCAACCCATACTTTTACGTCCCAAACGTCACCAAAACCACATCACACTAGGACAACACCACCAAGACATTTAGACGCTACCAAAACCACCACCACCCAAAAAAAAAATTGAAACACCCTAATAACATAAACATTACAATAACCACACCCAAATCACACCACAAGAACCACCACCATAGTAGAAAAAAAAAATTACAACAACCATGGCTAGCCTAGACCCACCACAACAAAGGAAAAAAGAAAAAAAAGGCACCCCTATCCGAGATCAAGAAGAAAGAGAGGGAGTGTCAATGGCAAGGTACTAAAATGAATCAAATAAAAAAATAAAAAAAAAAAGGTTAAAGATTAGGGTATAGAATGAGGCTTACTGATGAGAGTAGTTTCGTCCATTAACATAGTTAATATTTTTTAAATTAATTGAATTAAATAATTAGGAGCAAATATGACATTTGAAACCACAAGGATGTCATTATTAAAAAAGTCGTTGACCTACATCTGAGTGACATTGACCGAAAACTCAGGTGATGTCAAAGCAATTTAACCTAAAATTAATGTTAAAAAATCTTTGTAATATTTTATTATATTTTTGTGATTTACTTTTCTAATAAATCTAGGGAGCTAACTCCACTTTTATTCTTTGATAAATGAAATGACCAAAATAACCTTATATCACACCCATAAAACAGTACATCTTGTCCTCATTTTTATCCATGGTCTTCTCATCTCCACTGCTGCCTACACCGAAGGCATCTTCTGAATTTCCTCCTCCCTCCCTCTAATTCTTTTTATCCAACCAACCATACTATCTTTGGTCCCTCGCTGTAAATCAGATTAGCATCAAAATTATTTAGACTCTCCAAATTTAGTAAAAAAATTTCCATTTTTTCCCGCACAACTCTCGGACCTTTTATTTATACTTATTATTATTATTTTTGTATTGCACAGTCCTCGAAATTGGGTGCATTGAACGTTCTATTCATTAAAATAAAATGAATATAGACAATTTTTTTTTTTTTTTTTTTTTTGTTTCTTATCCCATAAATTTGGTTCACTGCTTTAGGGATATTAATTTGGATAAGATGTTCATATTAAACGAATTCAGTTTTGATATGCTGTTCAAATTCATTATTAATAGATAAGAGTTCTAGTTTAGGTTAGGAAGGTTAAATCATTGGCAATGATTCAATTTTTTTAAAACAAAGATATCTGAGGGGAAGAGTATTCATATATGTATACATATGTAGTTACATTGTAAGTTGTAACTGGTGTTAGGAGTTCCAAAAATGATAGAAAATAAGGGACTTTTAGTTGAAGTCAGCTCTTCACTTGAAGAGGTTCCCATGCTCGTCGTAGTCATAGAGATGGAAGAAAAAAAGGATTGTTAAAGGTCAATTTTGTCATTTAATTATTTCGACAAAAGTTTGGAGCTCCAATATCAAAAAGGATTGTTAAAGGTCAATTTTATCATTTAATTATTTCGACAAAAGTTTTGAGCTCCAATATCAACTCTTTAAATTTAATAGGGTTCAAATTTCAGTTTAGTGATTGGACATGAAGGAACGACCCTACAATGAACATTTAGGGGCAGGACCAATTTCATTCAATTTTCTATTTTCTGATAACTAAATATAAGAAAATTTTACAAAAATCTATTTAATTGACCACTTTTGAAAACTATTAAAAAAAAGATCTTTTCTATTTTCTAGATTTTTTAAAATTGTCAAACAATATTTTACCTAACAAAAAACAGATACATTCCCTCGGTTTTTAGTATTTTATTGGTAATAAATAAATTACCAAATTATTCATAATAGATCCTACTCACATTTATTTATTTTGGCACAGCCAAAAATAAAAAGATAGGACATTATTTTTTTTTGGAACATATATCTTTTTTCAAGTGCTTTGTACCAAACAAATTGTGTTTAATTTAAGAATGTGTTTAATTTAAGTAGTATTCTTTGTGTCATGCGTTCATCGATGTGAAGACATATACACAAGTGATAGAAGATGGAGATGTAACTTGAACCGTGAATTATATTTGAACTTTTAATAAAATCATAGAGCATAACTCTCGTTTATCATACTCCTCTTGGTTGTCTTTCTGGTCTATATTCTTCTTCCTCTTACCCATCAGAATCACACGAACCCTATCGAATGAGTCCAAAGTGCTACCCGCGTACAGAATCTGTTTGTTTCTCAGGTAAATAACAAAAATAGAACATCAAGAAAATGCAAGAGAGAGAGATGAGAGATCCAAATAATACTACTGCGGAAAGCAATTCCTAGTACAATAAAAATACAGAGCATACATCGATGCAAGAAGCATGGAAGCCCTTGAATCTTGATCAAGTTACACCAACTACTGAGCTACGAATCCTAACCACTGCCTAAACTTTACAAGTTAGATCACAGAAATAGAGACTGCACACACAATCTCTTCTTCTAACTCCTAGCTGCTCTGATGAAATTGTCAAAAGGACTGGCCGGAGGAAGCCTAAGAGCCAACCATGGATCCATCGGCGGCAGCACACCTTGACTAGGCCCTCCTTCAGTGGTTATCTACACAAACAAACGCAGTACGTATCACAAGTGCATATAGATACCATAGCAACACTTCGGCTTTAGCATGTCGTTATGGCAGTTTAAGACAAATTGACATTCTATGAACTGGAGCTTCACAAAATAAATTAGAGGCAGAACAGGGGTGTTATCATCCGGGGTGAGTGCTCATTGCATTTATTCTAAAAGTTCTGTAGCCTTGTGCATGTTATCAGGGATAAAAATCGAGCTCTATTTGGCCTACTGTATACTCCTGGCAGCCTGACTCTAGAAAATGAACACTTCTAAATTAACAAAGGGTAATTTAAAAATCAAATCATGCTGACCTTCCTGACTGCTGATAGCCTGTCAGCAGGAAGTGCCGGAAATGACCTGTCTGCCGTTCCTGAGTGATGATTCTCGTGAATTAACCAACTAGAGAGCTTCTTCCTTGTGCCCGTGCCAAGAGCCTCACACTGGTTAGCCATGGCACTGTATGGAAGAGGTGAAGTTGAGACAGATGTTCCAGCCACTTGACCAGCTACCTCCAGCGCCTGAAAACAAAAAACTATTTATTAATGACAGGAAGAGGCTGCATGGTGAAATCTATAAAGTGCCATGCACGTAAAGTAAAACAAACAGAATGATGATAAAGAGCATGCATGCAAATCAATCATTGGAGTTGTCCATGAAATATACATAATCAAACAACGATGTCTTCATTTATAAACACGAAGGGGAAAAGATAATCATTAGTGGTTGTTTTCATTCATAAAGTGAGGTGGGAAAGCTAAGCCTGAGCTACGTAATATGATTCCCACTGTTTAGGAGACGGCAACAAAGAGGATTCATCCATCAGGAATACCCAAAACACAATTCTTTATGTAGGCCAAAGAATTTTCAAGAACATTTGGTTTCTAAGCAGAAAAGCTGTTTCGAACTAGTGTTTGATCGATTACGTATTAATCAATGTTCAATTGATTGGTCTGATTTTAGATGCTCAGTTCAATTTATTTCTTCTCTCCGTGAATCGTAGGAAATAGTTGAATCAACAGAATTTCTACATCCTAAATTATTTGATAACACAGAAAAGTCAAATGATTTCAGCAAAGCATTTGGTGGGACAGAAGAAAAATTTTCCATTCAATTTCTTTCATCATTTTCTTGAAAAATTTCCAATGAAGGATTCGAACACTCGAGACACATCAGGTCCATCAAAAAAGTGCTCCTCAAACTGCATAATATTGGTGAAGTGCACCACTGTGTCTATACAAAATATACACTCAATTGGAGGAAAGGTTCCCCCAGTGTTATTAAAGGCCCAAGGCGCACTACGGATTTATTTTTGAGGTTCTTGGATGCTTGAATGATGTGGTTGACGGATTTATTTTTTCATGCTTGATATTAATTTTTAGAATATTGTAGTATGGGTGATTTTATAGTAATTTAATTTTTCAATTGTGCGCCTCGTGCCTAGGCTCCAAAGGACCTCTAGCGCCTTAAGTGTGCCTTGGGCCTTTAATAACACTGGTTGAGCTTATAAAACATGGTTCATGGTCATAATACCGGTTGCTAACTCAGTGGCCAGATATGCTACCTATACATAAGATTCAGCTAGATCTAATCTGTCTACAGTATATCCATATCAATACACATTAACTTTTAAAGGAATATAGAAAGACATACAACTTTACCTATCCCAAGTATATGATGATAGACAAATCTTGACTTTTAAGTTTTGTTTGGCAACGCTCGAGTTGCTTGATGCAAGTTGTAGGATAGAGTTTGGAAAACTTGGAGAAGATACGAAGAACAAGTAATTGCCAAGACGAAATAAAGAAGAACGAAGAAGAAGATAGTAAGAGAGTGAAGAAAGTTTTGTCAGTCTAGTCTTACGGTGAGTGGTAAAGATCTGGGTTGACTGGTAGTGGTACTAGCCAACTAGGAAAAGGCAGAGGGGGGTGAATCACTCAAGATTCTGACCCTGTTATCAATCTTTTAAATATAAAACTGCATGCATGGCCTTGCTTTAATGAATAATTAGCTCACAACTTTAGACACACAGGCATGCATGATATATATATGTATATATATATATATATAGAGAGAGAGAGAGAGAGAGAGAGAGAGAGAGAGAGATTACCGATTCCAGAAGCTGCCCAATGCTAATAATGTGAGACATGGAAGGGGATGTTGGCATTTTTGGGATGAAACGGGAGAAGTCAGCAACAGAGGATTCACTCAAAATATCATCCTCAACCAATGAATTTGCTTGAAATTCCTGCAGCATAAGCAAAATATTTAAGAAATTGCCTGTATTGACCACCATTTGAGAATATCCCACACCTATACAGGATGCCAGTTTTGATGAAATGTAACCAGGTCCATGAAAAACTTCACTGATTTTGATGAACGAAGTCAATCGCATTATAAGCCGAAAGTTTTGATTGACAAAGCACAAGTGACTTCATCCAGATCACAGACAGATTCATCAAAAGTATAGATAATCAGAAATGGCATACCCCGTCAAATGAAAGAGTCTCCTTTGAATGTCCAGTTGTCTGAAGGTCATTCAAGTCCAGTATTGATTGTGGACCAAACATGAATGCATCATCAGGTGTGAATGCTTCTGACAGTTGCTTCCGTATGTTATCCGCCTCCAGCTTAACAAGCACAGAGAAACAAATAACTTTTAGCCTATCATATATTGGAGGGAACACACACAGACAAACAGAGAAGAAGATAGAGAAGTTGGGAATGGAGGAAGATGACAGTACAGACAGTAAAAACACTGACTTGTCCAAAAAATCCATACCTCAATAATGCCAGATAAACTTTGAACTAAAACATCCAGCATTATGTTGTTAGATTCATATATTTTGCTCCGGAGCTCAGAGAGTAAAGAGGTAGCCACTTGATTGTCACTGGCAAAACCATATTCTCTCAGATCCGCATGAGGTTTCACATATACTTGAAAGTCATCACCAATGCCAATGTATGGATCAACCTGAAAATGTACAAGATATTTTTTCCAAAAGGTAATTAATATTAGTTGCAGATTATACATTCACATATTGTAAATGAGCAATCAACTCCAACAACCCAGGGAAAAGGAAGAGAGAAATATGAAGTGCAGCATATAAGACTTGTTTTGGAAGCACATGCAGAGTTTAACAGATCATATCAAGTAAAAAAGTTCAAATGAGGTAAGGTTCGGCCTATGCCAGATCAGTTTATTTATTTACCGAGCTAGAAACCAATGCTCAAGCCCAGTTGGTATATATATAAATAAAATAAAAGAAAAGAAAAAAAACTAGCCCATTACTGATCTGGTTATCCCCAAACCCCACAACAAAGACTCCTTCCACCTGCAGCCCTTTCCATTTTTTTATTTTATTTTATATATCTATTGGAAAGTCCTTGTGCACAAAATTCAAATAGAACACAGAAGCACAAATTGGCAGGACTTTTAGTAACGTCTCACACTAAATTGGAATGATGGAACTGCTCTTTGATGCATCATTTGGTAAGACTCGGTACTGATCTCCAATATGCACAACACAGATTAACAGAAACATATACGATAAATCTTGAAACAATTGAAGCCAAAAAGATCTTAAGCATCTAACAACAGAAAACATGGCAATAGTTTGGGAATTAATAATCAGATCAAAGTGTTGGTTGATCTAGCTTTTACTAGGAGATTTATAGCACACATCATACCGATGTCGTAGAAAAACAAATACATCACATTTACAACCAAATCCCATCAATAGAAGTTATGGCAGCAATCCTGCTCTGTTTAAAATAACATAATTCTCCGGAAGCTAAAATTTAGCACATAAAAACTCACATCATATTCAACTAGTGACCAGAGCAAATCATTTAATTCGGGAATCTGATATATCTTTGCTGCAAACATTAACATCGCGGTTGATAATACAAGAACTGATCTCTGGTATGCTGGAGGAAATATCCCTGTCAAGAGGTAGAAACACGTCAAATTGTACAATTTCAAGTTTTCAACCTTCTGGAACTTCAAAAGATTGTAAGTATACTTATCAAAAAAAACAAAAGATTGATAAGTACAATCTCCCATACCATTGCTAGAGTCCAATGACATATTCCTAAGTGACACAGGAAGCTGAAAGAAACGGACCACTAGATTGACATTATGGTTCTGCAACAGAAGACATTCAAGAAAATTCATTAGACATCTTACCAATATAAAAATAAAAAAATAACACATGAAACACGAGTGTGCCTGCAACTATTATGATTTGGAAATATGGGTTACATCATAGTTAGAAAACCATATGCCTCTTAGGGTGATAAGGCTGACAATGGAAATAAAATGAGTCAATTGTTTTAACCGTAGCATTTGAAGGTACAAATCAATCATGGGGACAACTGTAGACCATTAGAACCATCACCACAGCTTATAGCATCATGTCAGATTTGTGATTTTACAATGACAATTTGAAATTTTACAATAATTTGAGATCTTTAGAATGGCCCCATTGATGATGATCAAGTGCTAAAAGTAACACGTAATATAACAAAGCCACAAAGGAATTCAAGCATGCACACTCTCCATGTTAAAGCCAAACGTAAAGATGCAAATCATAAGTGCAAAGAAATTTAACATGAGGAATCAAACTGGGAAAAGACAAAGATGACAATCGTGCATATCTGAAATCTCACCGTAAGGCGTGATGAGATAAGTGTTAAGCAAAAGGAATGTGCAATAGCTTCAATGTTTGAAGGTAAGTTGTCTGGAAGATTGGCTTGCATCCAGAAGGCAGACAGTAATTGGGCCACTTGGTCCTCATTAAACTTCATGATACATGGTTCCTGAGCCATCAAAAAATCCAGTACTCATCATCCTAGATATCAACAAAACTAATGTAATTTTAAAACTGTTTATGCAATGCCAATACAGGGTATTACCCTTAGAGAAATATGTACATGTCAGAGCAAAAAATTTATTAAAGAACATAAATCACTTACAGCCTCTCCCAAGTTGGTTGACCCAGCTGTCCTGTCAATAATAGATCTTATTTTGTAAAAATTGGGGGAAGTTTTGTGAGCTGTCCCCTGCCTCAGTTCTTCTTCTGCAGTGTCTCTTTCCTTCAAATCATTATGAACATTAATCCCATTCTTTTCTACTTTAGTTCCATCCTTTTCTCGCTGAAGTTTTTCAAGTAGAGCTGTAATTGAAGCAAATGCAGATGCAGATGCAGATGCAGTATCGGAATGCCATCTCCTCGGATGGTTGGAAACATCATGTCTTCGGCAATCGGAATTTGGGATGAGAAGAACAGAAAATATCTGGTGTGCTCCAACACGTGCCTCAACACCCGGATGCAACATGACTTTCAAAAGTTGAACCAAAAGTGCCTCTGGAAACACCTAAAAGAAAATGGGAATTTAAAGATTTCATTAAGTCAAATTTTAAAACTCTCAAGTTTCAAATTTAAAACTCATGATTATAATTTTATTTTTATAACAATCCAAATTAATATTTTCACTTGTATTTTGAATTGAAAGTGATTTCTAAATAACACAGGTATTCAGCTGCTAACTTGGAGAAGTTGGAAAGGACTCATTCAGAAATTCCGAATCGGGAATAAAAAGTTACTACTCTGCAAGAAGTGTCAAATGGCATGCCAAAATGACCACATCCAACTCTTCACTTGAACTCTCAGAAACAAAACACAACAATAAGAAATCACTCAATTGGAGATCAAATGTATTATCCTCGAAATTGCTTCCAAAAAAATCCCTAATCTCAAACAACATGATTAAAGGAATGTAAATTCAATTTTAGCTTGAAGCTGAAAAGAAAAACAAGTGCAAAGCAGCAGAAATATGAGCACGACTTGCACAACTGCAAACCCCTATGCAGAAACAAATATGTATAGTACTACAGGCACAAAAAAATCATCTCACCAGCTGTGACTGTGAAGAGATTGATGCTAATGAGATCATATGAGCAAGAATTATCAAGGATCCAATGGTTGCCTTGACAACACCTCCAACAGAAGGCAGCATCTCCAGTGTTATCGCCATCAAGTCAAATAATGGTCGTGTATCTGCAACCTAATATTAACCAAGGAAATAAGCAAATGAAGCCCAGTAATAAGCTACAACACTTAAATGATATAAATGCATTGAACTTACCCCTTTGGCAAATTCTAATAAGCAATCTTCAATTGAATTTTGGAGAGAGAGATTGATATTTGATTCTTGCACTCCAAGAGATTCAATTGTTCCCTGAAGACTTTTTCTCAAATGCCTGCAAAGGTCACTGACAAATCCATTTTCTGAAAGTACAGCTCCAGATCTAATTTGCCGCGTCATAGCAGTAGCAGTTTGGATTACATGAGATTTAGTTTGGGGATCATGAGTAATACTTTTATGATCCAAATGGCGAATGACGGCAGCTAAAATCAATTGTTGATTCCCTGAGATCAGAAGATTAAGCATAAGCAAATCCATATCACACGTGAATTTTAGGCTAAAAAACTAAGCCAAAGAAAAGTGGTTGAAAGCTCATTTGCATCTTAATTATGAGGACAAACTATAAACTAATGTCAAAGGGAAGGGTAAATGTCATGCATCTGGAATCTGGATGCAAATTACTATACACACACACATATATAAATTAACTAATCTACATAATGAAGTAAAACCTAAAATAATCAACCCTTCCCTTCCATACAGTCAAACAAACCTTATCTAGAATAAATTCCTGAGCAAACATAATATCAAAAAACAGTTATCACTGTTACATTACTTTGCAAAATTCAAAGCAAACAAATTAGTAGGCTTTCTGGATAATATATTCATACAAAACTAAACAGATCCAGAGAACCATATATTATCTTTCGCAAATCCAACATTTAATGCATAAGTCATCAGACGCAAAAACTTAAAGAAGAGCCAGTCTACATAGCCTATAATCTTGCAAGTAACCATCTGGATATATTACAAACTTATAATTAAGATAACTAAAAAGATGCAGTAAAATCACTGAATAGACAACACAGAACATAATGTTGAAAGCAAAGACAAGGAAGAAAAAGCAAATGACTCTGCTTAATGGCCACATTGTATACAGTTTTGTTGTCTAAAATGGGAACTGAACAAAAGGTATAACTGCAACGCCACTACATTGTAAAGGTAAATTCAAGTGCTTGTACACCATTAATAAACATATGGGCATCTTCCTTCGGAGGGAAGAAAAAAAGGAGTAAATGGAGGAGCACATGTGAAAATTGACCCATCAGTAAAATGTGAAAGTAAAATAGAAGTAGCGACTGAATAAAAGAGGTGGGAGAGATTAGATCAACTCACCAGGAGACTCCATGAAATATAACATATCTGATAGAACCATTAGGGCCAACCCATGTGGAGGAACCCAGTGCCGTCCAGTATCAAAGTAGGCGAACATTGGATCCACAACCCTGCGCAGCGTTGAACTCTCCTTGCCCAGTTCAACCAACCTTTGGATGCATATTTGTGCCCATACTTTTGGTGTCTCAATCTCTTCTCTGTCGTGTGAAAGAGTAAAATAAGAAATAAGAAATTGAGGAATCTACACGTACAAGTAATAATTGCCGAAGTTTGGTATAACAAGCTCTCCTTTCAAGCTTTTGAATGACTACAACCTTGTTAAAAGAGAAGGATCTTTCTTTTCTGGACATGGCTTGATGACCATACAGCGAGAGCTAATTTCACAACCAACACCAGCACCACCTCTTCCTTCACATCTAACCACTTCATCCACCCAGTTATGATGGGGCTCCCCTCTTTCAGCATCATGCTCATTATATGTATCTGGGTCACAGTTATCTAAAATGACGTGAACGATCTGCAATTTGAAGATAGATTCATGAGTAAGTTAAAAACCATAACACCCATAAAAATTGAACATACAAAGAATTGGTGCTCCATTCATCACCTTAATATAACTAACAATAACAGTGAATTAAAACCAGAAGAACAGTGAATTTTGCATGCCTTTTCTTCATGCTGATATAGTAAATAAAAATAGAACTATAAGGATAAAATACTTTTCATCAGTCAACTAACACAATTGCCATTGATAGCATCAATTGCCCATTGATGAATGTATTTGCTCCATAATTATTCTCTCAATTAGCTCCATAATTATTCTCTCAATTACATTGCTACAGATATTATGAGTTATTTTCACAAGCGCATTTGAACTATTAAATAGACAATATCTGATGTTTATTCACAAAAAGAATACATATATATATATAAAAGGTTATCTGATGCATCAAGAACAGTTTGCGCGAGTCAGTTCCATCTAACTCTATAATTTTAGGATTTATTCAAATTAATTTTATGAGAACAAAGCAGGTATTCAAATTGTAAAGTGATTAAGTTGATCAATAAATGTCAGGAAACTTGTTCTGAGGTTAGAAACAAATTTCCTTGCAAACTCACTTGGGAAGCTGGGACAAAACTTGCACAATTTTAGGCAAAATTGCCTTCAAACATTTCATTATTATTTTTGGATTAGTAGACTTCAAACATTTCATAATTATTAGGGAACTTGTAAGCAAGTTCTAGGAAACTAGTCGAGACATTTAGGGATATTACAAGAAAAGTGCTTCTCAATATTTGTTATATTATTCTAATTCATAAACATATTTTCTTATAAATCTCTAACTTTCCCCACTAATGGTACTTAATATTCGCATCTGCAGTAGGAGAAGCGGTAAGGACAAATAAAATTAGAAATTTTGTATAATTAGGTCACATTTTTATTTTTATATTGGTAGTGTTTAATTTTTTAAAGTTCAGCTTTTTCTATTTTCATTTTAGGGTTTGCCTATATATGTGTGTGTTAAATATATGGGGATTATTACATTTTGCATAATTGATTGTTGATAATTGAGAGACAATTTCTTCAAACCTAATTTCCCCGTTCTTTTTCTTCTTTCCGACTGGATCAATTTGAACAAAGTTGCTTAGTAAGTTCTTAACAGGCTTCCAATTACATTCCAACTGGCTTCTTGTTTCCTGTATTATCTTTGTAACATGTTTAGTAAAGAGAAAGTTTCAGGAACAACTTCAGTTTTGGCCAATAGTAAAGAGAAACATTCAAAAATGACTCCAGATTCTTACTATCTGTATATATGTAAATCAAGTCCATCTAAGGCTAGGCGCTGCTGTGAAATCTATCATGTATATGGCTATCATCATAAAAGATGTCTAAGTTAAACAACCACTAAAAAAGGCAGGCAAATGCCATGGTTGACAACTTAGCAGCTAAGTGTAAATAAATAATAAATAAAAATAAAATAAAAAAGAAAGAACTAATAGCAAATGCACACTTCAGCATAACAGCAAAATCAGTAGACGGACAACAAGGTTTAGAATGCAAAGTAACCATACATTACCAAAATGCACGACGAAATGAATCTAGTATTATTTTTATTATTAACACAAGGAACATGGAGGTATCAGTGTGCCGTACAGAAACAAATTGGATTCTATCAATAGGATTATGAATGAACCCATTTATTTTATGAAAGCATTTAAATGAGTATATTTCATTAAGATTTGTTCAAGACGAGAGAATCCTACAAATTATACTAATGAGATCATTTTTCCATCATTATGGTGATATCTTGGTATAAATTGCTAAATAAGACTTAATGGGTGAGATCAAATTCGTGATACCCAAAACCTCGATATGGGTTTCAAAAACCTAAGAAGGTTCATCACAATATTATGTCGCAGCAAGAAAGTTACCAAAAGGACTAACCTCATCAAAATCAACAAAAATGTGAGAAAACTCAGCCATAAACCACACCTGGAAAGGGAGGAACAACAAATGAAGTGTTATATATATAGATAAAAACCGATTGCAGTAACAAAACCAAAATGAATATCAAAATTTACTCAATGATTTCCATTGAAGAAAAACTTCCAGAAAGAAATGGACAGAATTTTCTATAAAAATGAAACTCTAATCTGCACCAAGAAAGCCAATTAAACCATAAACTACCATGGCTGAAAGGCACTGCAAACTTGACGCCCTTAAGCAGCGCTTTTGGTGTTCTTCCCCAGTCTCGCGAGCTAGAATACATACTTTCTGAACCAAACTTTCAATATTATATGTGTAAGTTCCATCAACCTGCTCGCGCATCAGACAAAAATAAGAGAGTATAACACAAGTAATGGCAATCAATTTTAAAGAAAAAATAATATTATTAATAACAAGGGGTGCACAATTGGCATAGATACCTACAAATGTGGAAAGTACCTGTGTGTCAAACACATGAGTCAGGGTATGGGTTATGCAGCCAACATAACTTAACCATATATGAAACTAACAATCATGTATAGCAATTCAAATTTATATCGTCAGACATAAAAACACTCTTATTATGTTCTAGTACAAAGTTGTCCCACAAAGAGTGAAGTGGCCAGGCTGATACATTACACCACCACATAAACACCATTTTGCTAAAGGAAATAACAAAAGAACCCCTTGTCCCCATCTCTTTGGATGTGGGGAACAGATAACTTTGATATTTAAAAGGATACCCACACCAGACCAGAGCCCATACAATGATTATATTCTAATAATTATAATACAAAGGAAAAGCTAAGTGCCCGAGGCATTACCTGACTATAAATGAACCTAGTTAAAGTTTGGCATCCCACCATCTGCACAGCATCTCGTTTAGAGTTGTTCAATAGTTCATTAACTACATTCAGCAGATTGACAGCAAAATATGCCCTGTAAAATAAAGGAAAACTTAAATTGTTATTCCAAGAAGGACTGGTTGTACATCTCTGCCACTTTGGCATGGGAAAAAGGGGGTGATACTAATTTGCCAATCTGGGGTTTAAATATAAATTAACTTACACATCAAGCTTCTTAATTGAATACCATGTACTGTAAAAACAAAACTAAACCTTGAAAGTACTTCATCTGGCAACAAATATGCCCCAAATAAACATGATAAAACAAGACCAAAATGTAATTCAAAGTCCGCTTGCATAATGACTAAACGTGACTGGTATGATTAGTAGATCTAAGGCTAATGGAACTGACTACTAGTTAAGAATCAAAGAACCTCTATTCAGCAGTGAGCTTAAACATAACAAAAGAGTAAATATTCATTAGAAAATAAAAAATAAAAATGCTGCACTTACATTTGCACCTTACACATGCAAAGCAACTTATTGTAAGCCTCCATGACTACGTTGATGAATTTAATGTGCTCGCAGCGCAGTTCTTTATAGCACCTTTCTTCAAGATATTTTGCAATCTATTAGGCCAGAAATACATCAGCAGTAAACATTGATTACACGTTGAAACTCACATTCTTGGTCAATGAATATGCATTAATGACGAGAGTTACCACCTTTGGGATTCTGAAAGGGTTTTTTGCAGCATATTCACATAACTTCACAATTTTCCTTTCATTTGGAGGACCATCCTACAAAATAAAGTGTAAAATCAACCTCCAATACTCAGGCTATTGATGAGAAATAAGAACAGTAAATTTAGTAAATTAAACACTGATTCTAAGAAACCAAATGACTCCCTAGGAAAAAGTCACCTTTTAAGAGTTAATTGTACAGAATGAATACTGGTCAATTCTAAACATGTTCAGGCCAAGAATGTGACTATGGAAGCCATAAATTTTTCCATCTAAAAACTCTCGCAAAATGTACCAATATGCATGTTTTAATCCATGAATCCAATTTGGGTTTAATGGTTTTAATCAGTTTTATTGAATTGATAAGATGATTCAATAAATGTGATGAATTTTACGTCAAATCAGATGTACATAAAATAAAAACTGGGAATTTGACAAAACAATTATTATACAAGTATATAATAAATTATGTGATAAAAAAATTAGTATACACTAAATTTAGTTATTTACAAAGTTAGTAGGTATTAATTACTAGTAGTTGGTACTCTAAATATCTAATAAATTAGTCTACTAGTTTATACCCTTCATAGTATATATGAGAATTATTACTCATTATTTAGACTTATCAAAATATATTACTCATTATTTAGTAAGTTAGTTGATACCCAAAGCTTAATAGTTGCTATTTTTAGCAACGAAAAATATTTAAGTCTTAAGTCAAGAATCAAATATCAAGTGATCTACTGATTAAACAAGTATTCAACGTTAACATAATATTCGAAGTTCCAAATTTTCTAAGTTTGATACTAAACTGCACATGAAAGATTGAACATACAATGTCTACTAAGCCTATGAATATGACATAAATAAACAGAGAAGTAAAAATCAATATTTATATCAAGATGACAAATTTAAGAAAAATTACAACGTTAAATTTTAAAATAGAAAACTTAAATAAAAAAGAAAAATCCACCAAAAGCATCGATAACATTCCTAGGTGAATTGGGCAAAAACTTGAACTACGAGCATACATACTTTTAGAAAGAAAATAAAAGGTAGAGCCAACAGACATAGAAACTGGTGATACTTCGACTAAAAACTCTAAATCTAGTTAAGATTTTTACCAAAATGTTTCAAGATATTGATCCAAGATCTAAGTTGGAACAGTAAAAAAAGTACAACGTAAATGACAATGGCCAAAACAGACATTACAAGGCCATTACGGCAGTCACAGCCGTGAAAATTTAACAAACAGATATAACAATCCAAAATGTAAAGGCCATTATTTTAAACCCTACTAGGTATATGATAGGGTTTAATAGGTTCCCACTAGATCAGGCTAAGATAAGGCAGAAAGGGAGAGAAAAAAAAAAAGATGGCAATAATAAGCTTTATGAGACAATAAGGAATAATCAAAAGACATCTGCTGCCTCTTGCTCATTTTGAAAAAGAGTTAGGGAGTCACCAACACTCCACTGTTTGTAGATCTTTAATACAAAGAATAGCTTGTGACAGCTGGGACATGTATGTAAGGAAAAATAACCAAGCTAAAATTCTAGAGAGACAAAGGAGAGCATACATAGATGAAATTGGGCACACTCTACCATCTAGCCAAAAAATCCCATTTCAGTAGAAATTTTCAAATGAGCATGAAATGTCAATATATGAATTGTTCGCATGTTTGGATTCTTCATTCTAATTGAGAACATGGCAAGTGGAACATGTGACAAACATGTAAAGAAGGGTAACTTAAGTGGGAACCATGGTAAAGAAAGCGAGGTGAAGGAGATCATGATTATTATGACTCCCTCAGCCATAGAGTCGGACTCAGTTGACTACAGAAGTACCTCGGTCTGACCCAGTTCAAAATCACCAAGTGTCTTGGCTTCTCGAGGGAGAGACAAGGCACAGCTCAAGGGGGTGTGCTAAATTGGAGATAGACCACATGTCTCAATATCATCAGATCATGCATCTGACGGAGATGGTTCCTACTGCAGGTAATATGACAGATGTCTTTAATGTGGCCAGAATGGTCTACAAGTACAAACAAATTATTTTTATTACACATGAGAATAGAGTAGATTTAAAGAGAGGGTCGGTAGATTGTCTTGGGATGTTCTAGAACGACCCCGGTTTAAGTCCCAAAGAGTTTGAACGTTATCTTCTCTGAGTAGGAGGGAGTTTGGGGCAACCAGAGGTAAGAAAGGAGAAGTATGTAACCGTTGTCAGCCATGAAACAAAAAGAAGCATGAGTTCCCCTTGTAAAGTATTCACAATGTTGCGCGCAAAAGGTTTCACATATATAATAACTACACTTACATACTGTATTCAAGCACATTTAGAGACTTGACAAAACCAAATGATATCACGTGACTAAATGTTACACATGACAATGTTCGTGAATAAAAAGTCAACAGGTAAAAGAAAATGAACTGTGTATACTCACAGCGGATTTGGGGAAGATCTCTGAAAGCAGTTTCTTGTAACGCTTAACGGGTTGTCGAGATCTTGACCTCAAAGCAGGGCAGCACACACACATGCTCTCACATGCTGGGAATAACTTCCGAGATATAACACCCATCTTCCTATAAATTTTGGAAGAAAAAAGTTCGAAATGAAAACCACTAATATCTACCACCAAAATCATAACTCTAGCATTAAGCAAGAAACTCAACAAATTGATTGGACGAAGAATTAAAAAAATAAATAATAAACAACTACTAATACTACAACTACACAACAAATTAATAGCTTCAAACCCAAAATTGCATCATAAGTTACACCAACCTACCAGAAGGAAAGGAGACAACATACAACACAACACCTCCAAAGGCTACATTGAACAGAAAGAGATTGCACATACCCAAAAATTGGAGAAATATCACCAACCCAGAAGTAAATAGAAAATTGGGGGCACAAAAAAAGGCAACCCCATTTAATGCTATACAAAAAAAACAGCAAAGATTAATTTAACAAAAATAAAGAACAAGCATAAGTTATAGAGACATAAACAAATTACCCAGAAAATAGAATGACTATTAGACACAGAAATCAGTAAACCCCTACCACGTAACGAGCAATCAATATTGGAAAAAGAGGTTTAAATTTGATTTTAATGAATATTAACGAGAAGAACCTACACAACATATACATATATGTGTATTTAAAGTGAAACAAACTCAAAATAACCGTTATCGGCAAGAACATTGAAGAAAAAAATGGGGAAGAACGCATACCTTGCCTTGCAGAGGCAGATCTCGGGAGCGAAACCTCCCGCAGAGTTTAAACAATAGTTTGAAGGACGCCAGTCGCCAGCAAAAATCAACAGTGCGTGTGGAATGAAAGAAACAAGAGGAACTAGTGTGTAGAGAGAGAGAGTGAGAGTGGGGTGTGTGAGAGAGAGAGCTCAGAGAGGGAAATAGAGCGCGTGGTTTTTGAGGCAGAGGATGGGAGCAGAACCAGATCACGTGATTGACAGAGGTTTTTTTAGTGAAAAAAGAGACCCTGCTTTGCTTTTGTGTCAGAACTTGGTAGACTAATCAAATCGATTCTTTTCTCTTGCTTTTGAATGATTTGAATTTCATGTTCTCTCCATTTATTTTAAATTAAACTAACCTCCCTCTTTTTAATCACAATTATAATATATTAATTCTTCTTCATATAGTGCAATGACTGATCAGTCCTCCGTGCGATCTTAATAATCAGGGTCTAACAAGAATTAGTTTCCCTACTTGATAAGATCAGAGTTAAGTCACATTAAAAAAAAAAAAAGTGGTAGTGATTTTGAGAACGGAGTTGCGTGAAAACGACATAATTAAGTCATAAATAATAAAAATTTGAACGAAAGTGCACGCAAAATGTGAAAGCGACATACTATATGAGAGAAAAATTGTGTGACTTAGAATTAGATTCTCTTTGTATTATTATTTGAATAATTTAGTGTCTATTACATAAATAAACAAATAAATAAAAACCCAAAATTAGTAATAAAAAATTGATAGTATTTCCTAATGTTTTTGTATGGTCATAAAATAATGTAGCGATAAACAATACCTAAAAATAAAAATTAGAAAATTCTAAATACGTTGTGGTTTTTAATTTTACAATACATTTTTACTAAATATATTTTTATATTTTGTGTCCAAAATTCATGTAATAAAAATACGTTAATAAATATGTTTTTATTACTATTAAAAATACTGTACAACAAAACCGTTGTCAAAGGAGACCAAATTTATGGTTTTCCTTACTTCAATAAATACTGCAAGAATTAGTCAGTAAATGGAGACTTTTAAAACCAACTGAGATGTTAAATATTAATTAAATAATATAAAATGATAGGGTGTATCCTATTAATTTTGTGTAAGAGTTTTTGACATTATTTGTTAGAGAGAGAAAAAAATTACTCATTTGAAAATTATACTACCTCTCTTACCAAACCATCTCAACAAATGGCTTTACTAAAACTTGCAATTTTTATCATTTGTTCCCACGTCTATAAATAAATAAATTTGTCTTACACTAATTTAAAGAACAAAAATGACATTGTAAAATCTTTCTAAAAAAAAAAAAAATGACATTGTAAATAGTGATTTTGTGGATAAGCAAGTTTTGATTTTTGATAGTTCACACAAATGTCAACGTTATCCTAACAAACATGTTAGCATTAGCATTTAGCACGAGATGTGGGTCCATTTTCTTAGATTCGCAATGATTTTTGGTGAGACTCCCATGACCACTGGAATAAATTTTAACCGCGAAATAAATAAATATATATATATATATATATATATATATATCTGAAAACTTTTGACAAATTTTTTCCTCTTTAAATCCCTCCTATTTTTATTTATTTATTATTTATTTTACAATTCTCCGTAATGGAAGAGACTAAACTGTTGGTTTCATACGTAAATGCACGTGATTAACTGGTTTTATATTGAAGATGCAAGAAAGATGTTTTTTATATAGAAAGAATAATTCTACACTTTAAATATTTTTTAATCCCTTTTTTCTTTAATTTTAGTCCATTTATAGACGATTATAAATAAACTTTCTAATTAACTCCTTGCACTAGGCTATTCTTCTGGTTCCTCTTGGTTATGGGCTCAATTCCTTTTATTTGAAATCGGGCTTTCAACATGATTTATTGGTCCTGGGCCTGACTAGCGAAGACTTGGTTCGGAGCGGTAACTTTTACAGGACCCGCTCTTAGCAATGTGGATCGTATCGGCCCAGATCATTTTTGATATCCTCACATATAATCTCAGATTATGTAAAAATCTCTTCCCACAAAAACTTATTACCAAATGCCAATAAAATAATAATAATAATAATAAAACAATCCAATCTAATCCAAAATTTAGAATATTGTATCCATTGTTTTGTTTTGTTTTTGTGTTTTTTTTTTTTTTTTTTTTATTTGGGGGAAAAGACTAGGATAAATAAACTATCTCAAAGATTCGAGTGATTTGTTTTTATATAAAGAAGCAGACAAGAAGATAACATGGATTCTTGAAATTGAACATTAGTTTTAAAATTTGGTTGTCTTCAAGTAATGTTTTTGACTTAGGGATGCTGGAAAAAGTGGGAACAACCCATGATAACCCAATTTAACTCATCAATTGTAGTAGTACGCATAATTGGAATTCGACTGTTTTGAGTAAAATATTACTCCAAGGATCTTACCTAGCCTACCTAAATCTTTTCAAATACAATTTTTTGTATTTACATTTTTGTCTCGCACATGCAACACAACTAAATATGCGATAACAAAATAAAATGGTTGCATTCTCAAAGTAAGCAATTTTGCATATTGAAATTAATGTGTTATAAAGATGTTCATTCATTTATCATTCTAAAGTTGTAAACTTCAATGGAGAGCATCCTGATTCTCAGTTTGACTAGCAAGATTAGTATAGTCTCTCTCTCTCTCTCTCTCTCTCTCTCTATATATATATATATATGTATATATAATACTGCGTACGCAAACATCAGCGTGGATGTGAAGCAATTAGCAGACTTGTGTTTATATATATTTCCCTTGCGTTGGTAATAGCGACTAATTAAGCTTTGGCTTAGAGTACAACAAAATGATTTCCATCAACCATTAACTATATAAATAATATACAAACAAGGGCGGAGCGGGCAAAGGTGGGCTTCAGCCCAATCAAAAATAAAAAATTAAAAAAATTACTATACTACTTTTAACCTAGGCCCAAATAAAAAAATAAATAAAATAGTAATATTAACCTACCCCAAATTAGCCCAATCTAAAATTAGTCCACTCTATTCAGAAATCCTGAATCCGCCCTTATAATCTCTTCCACGCTAAGGGGCTGATAAAAAATGTACACACACACACAGACGGGGGCTAAGTATATAAAACACCCAAAAGTTTACTTTTTGAACAAATAGCACACGCTCTTTTACTTTGGATATATAACTCCTTTAAAATATTAAAAAATGTTGAATACAAAAAAAAAACCCTGCACTATTGGCATATCAGCAACTAACTCTCCTGAACTACAAAAGTTGCAACTAACCCCCTTAAACTATTCAATTTTGTTGCAGATAACTCCATCCGGCTGGAATCTGGCAAGTTTTGATGGCATACGTCATCACGTGATGAAGATGTTTAAAGTAAAGGACCAGAATGCCCTTATTCACATAAAAGGACAAAAATGCCCTTGTTACTTTTATAACCAAATAGTCATATTTGAGCCTATAAATGGGTTATAAATGGGACAGCCAAACACACCCTTCTTTTCCATCAAACCCGTCCCCTACAGCAGCAATGATCAAATTGACGGTGGTGTTGGGTGGGTCGCTACAGTATAGTGTCGCCATCCCGAGCACATCCAAAGTGAATAGACGGCGATGGTGGGTAGGTCGTTGTATGTATATAATAATAAAGAGAAAGGGTTAGAGACTCAAGAGAGAAAGGAGTAGGACGGCGAACAAAATGTTCGGCTGCCGGACCGGAACTCACTGCTGGGTCAGACCAAGTTTACCGGAAGAAGATGAACAGAGCTCACCGTTTGTTCACCGGAGTCGCACGCATGTCTTGGAGCTCACTGGATGGTCACCGGGACTGGGTCTCAGTCTCGTTATGGGTTTCGCTGAAATTGCACTCTTGCCGGATTGTTTCGCTACTATAGCTCTGTTATTGGAACTTCTGTTCATTTTAACTAAGACATGTCGGGGTTGTTCGGTCTTTGATTGCAGGCTCGCCGCGCGACGACGTAGCAAACTCCGATGAACTGAACTCTGCAACTTTCAGCCAACAACAAATAACAATAAAGTTTCACCTCTGCAACTTCCGGCGAACAAAAACATACGAAACCAAACCCATAAACTGTTCTGCCGGCGACATAGCAAACTCCGATGAACTGAATTGCCCTGCAAAATTGGAGTTTCCAAACTCCGATGAACAGAGTTTCCAAGTCTTCGTTCCGATCCCTCGATTCGTACCCCAAATCCCTGTTTACCAACAAACCGACCAGCAAAAAAGGAAAACATATCCAATTTTTTCTCGAGAAAATCCCAACTTTTTCTATCCAAACATCGTAATTTGACCCTCTCTGGCTCTCTGCCGACCGTGCCTGCCACAGTTTCACTGTCGTCCTTTCCTCACCGTCGTCCTTCAGCTTTAATTCTCTGCTCAGTTGGCCGAGCCCTCATCAGCCGACCTCTTCACAGCCGACCCCTCCATGGTGGCTAAGTCCTCGACATCATCCAAAGCCGAAACCGCCGAGCCCGTATTTATCCTTGTCGGCTGTTCCTCTCACCGCCGAGCCCTCCATCGTTGCGCCAGAGATCCATTTTCGCCCACTGTCAGTTCACCCACAACCGAGCTCATCACTGTCCGTGCTTTATTCGCCTCTCTTGCTCGATTTTGGATCTGTATTTTATTTTTATTTTTATTTTTATTTTTTATCATTTTTTGGATCTGTATATTTTGTTTGGGCTTTACAAAACAATAGATACATACATATATATTTGGCCTTGTTTGGTTACATCTTAAGCACTATTCCGGGACTAGACAATAATAAGGGTATATGTGTCATTTGATTCACTTAACTTAAACACTCTCAAAACTACGTCGTTTTAGTAAGGGTAAATCAGATTTTTCATTTTTTTGGGCCGGAATGGACTGAAATGCAACAAATTCATATAGTTCAGAGAGTTTTTTGTAGTTCAAGGGGGTTAGTTTAGGTATGTCAATTTTTACCGCCCCGCCGGGGCCCCGCCCCGTCCCGCCCCGTTAATAACGGATATGGGAACACTTGTTATACCGTTGGGGCGGACATGGATACAAATTTTGTACCCGTCGAGGGTCATGGGGCGGGTAAGGGTTCAATATACATATCCTAAAGGCCCCGCCCCGCCCCGCATATAACTATATTTAATATATATATATATATATATATATATATATATATATATATATTAATAAGTTATTTTAGCGGCTTACCCAATTACCCATCTCTTATAATCCTAATTTGGGATGTAAACTTGGTATTAAATTTGCTTTTGTTTTGGTTATGGTGGAAGTTGGAGCTTAGAACTTCTTGTGATTTGGTTGTATTAAACTTTTATTTTTGTTTATTATGTTCTCTGAATTATGTTATGTGCATGTTATTATTATTATTTTTTATTAGAATACATAATTTTATTTATGTTGTGTCATTCCTAGGCTTTGCACATTTAAATAGTAGGAGTTTAAGTTCCAAAAAGTGAGAGAAAAAAATTTGTTAGTGGGGCGGGCACGGGGGCACAGTATTTCCGAACGGGGCGGGGTTGGATATGAAAATCCAACCCGTCGCGGGTCTTGGGGCGGGCATGGACTTGACAAAAGTTAAAAGGGGTGGGGCGGAATTTAGAGAAACCCGCTCCAAACCCGCCCCGTTGCCATCCCTAGGTTAGTTGCAATATGGCAATAATTCAGGGAGATTTTTTACATTTAACCCTGTTAAAAATGTTACAAACTATAACTTTTTGGCAGTCAACAATTAGAATTGACAATCAATAATTAGAAAAATACCATTAACAATTGACAGTCAACAATAAAAAAAGTACCATTAACAAATCATGGGTCTTGCACGTAACTAATTAATTAAATTAAATATAAAAAATACCCTTTTTCAACTGAATTTATTTAATAAAGACCATAATAATCATTTTACATTGACTGAATTTTTTATTATTTTTATTTTAATTGTAAGAATGACATTTTAATATTTTTATCGCTCTATTAATGGTCGAATGAGGGAAGATCCTTGTTCGCCCCTAAAATAAACATTAGGAAATTTTCAGAACCTAGAATTATACGAGTTATATAATTAGGGGTGCTAGATGCTCGCGACCCATATAATCAAACAAGCCACCATCCCAAAAATTGTTGTAAACATTAACTGTGATGACCTTGTGGGAGGGTGTGTCGTGGGCGGGTGTGAAAGACACTGACAGGCTACTACATTGGCGAGCTACGGGTGCACAGTCCCACATCGCCTGGGTAGAGGAAATGTGAAGTGCTTATATGTAAGTGTGTCATCTCCAATTGGTATGAGGCCTTTTGGGATAAAACTCAAGAGCAAAACCGTGCGGGCTCAGGCCCAAAGCGGACAATATTATAGCATGTGATGGAGTGGGTCGTTACAAATGGTATCAGAGCCTGACCCAGCCGGAAGTGTGCCGACGGGGACGTCGGGCCTCTAAGGGGGATGGATTGTGATGACCTTATGGGCGGGTGTGTCATGGGCGGGTGCGAGAGACACTGACAGACTACCACATTGGCGAGCTACGGGTGCATAATCCCACATCGCTTGGGTAGAGGAAAGGTGAAGTGCGTATATGTAAGTGTGTCATCTCCAATTGGTATGAGGCCTTTTGGGATAAAGCCCAAGAATAAAACCGTGCGGACTCAGATCTAAAGCGGACAATATCATACCATGTGGTGGAATGGGTCGTTACATTAACAGTAAGTTTAACCAAACGATGGGTAAAGAATTGTGAAACTTGCAACAATTACCAGAGTGTAAACCAAGGAGGCTCAACCATCATAAGTCTACAGAGACATGTTTATTTTCTCCCACCAGTACAGACCTCCACACTTCAATAGGTACCTAGCACCAAACCAAAACCAGTCGTGCCGTTCAAAATAATGGTCCAAGAAAGTGGAGTACAACAATACAACGCACCGAAGGGTTCATCCTTCCTTTCGGACATCCATATCCATCAACTTCCACAATCTTCCAATTTATTCAAGATATCATCATGGACAAAACTTCCAAATTCAATGCCCAGCACTAGTGCCATCTCAACCAATACCACAAATGGTTTTCTTCTCGTGTACCGTAGCTAGTGATACATGTTCTATCCATACTCTTTTTGAATATCAGATCAAATATGTCAAATATGTATGCCTTATTTTGTATACAATGAAATATATCTCATAAAGGAACCTAAAGGAGAAGAAATTTTGAATACCTCAGTAAAAAAGTGCTTTAAAATTGGATAGTTGGTAGAGTTTAACATCTTATAGCATTTTACATTAACTGATTTACAAGGAGTATGATTCAGAAATGACAAAACATTTGCGGTTTCATACCAATCTGAAGCGCACTCCCATATCATTCTTTAAGGCCGTATCTTGGGCGCAGTTCAGCAAGAATACCCGAGTACACAGTTGAGGCTGCCTTGCTACAAAATTCTTCATCCCATATCTTGACAAGATCTGTTTAGATGGAAATCCAAGTCAGATTACCAGGTTTCTATCATTTTCCACCATAATTTGTGTGATTGGAACCCTGAAACATCTACACACTTGAAACTGTTAATTCCAATTTCCTACTATGTATGAAGACATGGCATCGTAAAGAAACAACCAGCGTGGCATTTCTGTGCCCATGTGTATTTATCTCAGCTAAGCTTTTGATGTACCAATCACCTAACACCATTTCATTTTCGGTATTGATGTTTGCCAAGTGGGATAACTCTTGCCTCTTTATGTAAATATTAAAAAAAAAAGAACTCAAATACAAAATAGTTAAAACCTGAATAAGATATAAAAATACTATAACGGGCAATGGTCAAAGACAGTGGAAGCACCCAGCCACCTAGGGAACCCGTGTTTCATCTTTCAGCACTCCCGACTCCATAGTACCAACTGTCAGCCTCAATGGTTTTTCATATGTGCAAACATCCTCATAAACTTACCCTATGCTTTTCACAAGGAAAAATGACAATAATTTGGAGGAGGGTTGTGTAAGAACCACACATGCATGGTCAGATAGTGGAACCGATATACATGAAAGTGTCATTCAATTTGTATGTTACATATTTATCCTGTACTTTGTTCTCTCTTGTTCCTTCACATTGAAAGTACTACTAACGGGTATTGTGCTGAAAACCCTGCATCCTTGGATACTAACACAGATGCCATACTATCTCTTTATTAAAATTTTAACATCGGGAGGAGTAATTTGTGTAAACATACCAGCCCGGTCATTGGATGAAAGACACATGATGAGCATGTCAAATCTTGACACTTTGGTCAAATTTTCTAAATATTTGATAGCCAAATCCATTTCTTCACTGCCAAAGAGATAAACCAAGAGGGCATTAAAAACTTCATTAAGCTTAAATAGAAATTAGAAATCTCAAACGGGATCATCAGGGGGGAAAAAGGACATGTACTAACCTGAAAAATGTGGCGATGCACTTAATAATGTCAATTAGTAACGGAGCAGACAAGGCATTCTTAAATATCCGTGGTAATGCAACTGGTGATATAGTCTAAACATGCAAAAAAAAAAAAAAAAACAGTATTAGAAGAATACTAGCCAAAATATTTTACAAATCAACCCCATTCGGGAAAAGGAAAGAAAAGCAAAAAAAAAATGCATTAGAAGAATACTAGCTAAAATCTTTTACAAAATCAACCCCATTCAGGAAAAGGAAAGAGGAAACAAGAAAAAAAACACTAGCCAAAATAGTGAAGTCCAAATTTTCAATTTCAAAGTGCATGTTTTCACTGTTAGTGCTATTAAATGAACAGACACGCTGTTTAAAGGTTCCCCGTCACAAGAAAAACCACATTAGTTTTCAACAATCTAGTCATTGGTGTTCTGAGACCAACCAAGATAATGGGCGGTTAGGATCAGGTTCATGCAATGTTGGACTGGTAAGGCCCTGTTTGGTACGTGTTTTGTTTTTGCGTTTTTATTTTAACCCAAAACAAATGTTTTGTTGTGCAGTGTTTTGAATAGTAATCGGAAGTATGTTTGGTAACATCATTTTGTTGCAAGATTTTGGGAAGCAAAAACATGAAAGCATGTTTGGTAAAAAAGTGTTGCGAGTTTGGAAAATATAATGGTTAGTTTAGAATATTATTTAAGAGTTTTTTTAAAAAATAAAATAAATAATTTTTAAAAAAAAAAATAAAAAAAAAAACTGTTCATCACTACAGTACCCGTTGCTATAGTGCTGAAACATGTAAAAATACCAATTTGGTGTTTCGATTTTTGGCCACTATTCACGAAATGTTTCGGCACTATGCCAAACAAAACATTTTCTATAGTACCCGATAAAAACAAAAAGCGTTCCAAACAGGCCTTAACTAAATAGGCATTTGTCAAATTAAGGTGCTGCCAGTGACAAATTGAGAGAGAGAAAAGTCTACAAGTACCACACAATATAAATTATTATATGCATACTTGAATAAAGTATCCAGTTAGGAAAAATAATAATAAAGTATCCAAAATTTAATCACTGCTGAAAAAAGAAAAACAAGGACAGTATCGCCAACCATCAATAAGCGAGTCTGTAGTGCACGGTCACCAGAAAGTCCTCGCCAAGAAACCTCAAATTGATAAGCAGAATTTGGTGGCGTGATGTTTTTTGCAGCTTCAGCATTAGCCCGAGAAGCTGCTCGAGAAGCAAGCTCTTCCAATGATGCCATTAATTCTTGTTTGCCAGTTCTTTGATTTTTCTGTTTAGGACCAACAGTAAAAACAGTCAACAAGGGTTGAAAAGCACAGAAAGAGAGTCAGAAGAGGAACAATCAACATAAAAAAATGGAAAACTACAGGATTCCGTATTTCCCACAATGCAGTATTTGAGTGTTTCTTGTTAAATAAACATTCAACAATTTGACAAGTTAAAAATATTTCCACACAAATTTTAAGAGTCTTCCACGACCCCATTTGCTGATTCTAGAACAGAAGTTCTACAGACACTTGTAAAGATCATATATCAGACTTATACATAAACTTATAACTGGTGGACAAGGTTTACACTCAGCACAAAAAATCTAATAGATGGGTGTCATGAAATGACTGCAGCATGCTTAGACAAAATAGGGAGGAAAGATTACTCTTTCTTGGTCGTCCGCATCTATATAACTCCTCGTACATCAAATAGCTGCTATTTGCATATAATAATTAGGAGTTAAATTCCCAATTTTAGTCATGTGATTTTTGTTTGTTACAACCATGGGTGATTAGTGCTGTGAAACAACAATCTGATTGCACAAAAACAGAGAGAAATAAAGCGCAAAAGAACCTTGAATTGGATCCAACAGCAATCCAAGAAGTCCTAAAGTAACCCAAAAGTAATATTGACCAACTTAGCTTCAAAGCCTCTAATGATCCATGGGAATAAACCAAATCTCACGTTGGCACCCTAAATAACAACTTTCAGGCATAAACATTGTGCCCTCATTACTTTGGGATAATAATTTCCAGGATGCTAAAAAACAGAGTTGTGGTCCACTCAAAAGGTCGGCCAATATTTAACAAGGCTAATATAGTCATCCATGAATAGGAGTGCATGTTGGCAGGGTGGTTGTGTGTGCACAAGGCACGCATTTACACATACAGTGTCTGAACTTGTGAGGGTAGCTTTTGGAAATAGTTGATTTTCATGAAAAAAACCTCAGGAGAAACTAGCATTCCTCTCAAACTAACTGAAAATATACAAGCAATTAAGCAAGGATCTCGTGAAAAGACCTTAACAATCTCCAAGGAGTTTTGGATGCCCCCTTCATGAGAAACAGCTCCTTTCTCTCCATCGGTTATCATATTATTACTAGTAGAGTCCTCTATAGACACAGATGTATCCACAGGAGCTTGTCTACCGATGCCCTGCCAACAGAGTATAAAATTTCAAAAAATAAAATATAAAATGAAATGGTGCAACAAACTGCATACTCCAAAGGAGAAAGAGAGAAAGGGGAAGGGGAGGGGGATGGGGGAGAGATAGAGAGGTAGTAGTTTCAGTTTTCATTATTCTAGGGGAAAGTATGTCCAATATTCATCCCATTCAGTTAACTTCCATTGATTTATAATGAAAACCATTTACCAAAATACAATCTATTCAAACCAATGTTTTAACAAAACAGAGGGCAAAATGCTGCATTTTAGATGCTAAAACCCTAATGCACAAAGCTCGGTGATGGCACATAAGCCTTGCCATGCACTCCCTGACTTTCCCATTTGTTTAAAAAGGATCTCAACTTTTGTCAAATCAAAAGAGATAATTTTCAGGCAATTTGTCAAAGATAAGTAGGACATAGTGATGGAATGCAACACAGAAGATGATGCAGGAAGCTCCACTAACTTCACCTTCTTCCGTATTTATAAATTTATCATAATCAAACAAAAACCTCCAAATAAAATGGAAAACTTCAAGCATTTATGAAATAACACCTCAGTAAGATCCTCCTGAATTGGAGCCACTCTAGTCCTTGGAGAACCACTTGAGACAGGTTGAACATGTCCATTCACTCCCACCTTTGGCTTTCCTGCACTTTGTACTCCTTTTGAACTTTTAAAAGCTCCAGATGCCTTCCTAAAAATCTCCTGGAGAAATTGGTTTAAGGACTAAGGATTGAGCTGACGTAAATGAAAAGAACTGTAACATTAATACTAATAATAATAATAAACATAGAGGAAATGTTTTGATAGGTATCCTCTTGATATAACTTTGGAAGAAGCAAAAGCAAGGAGCATCCTATTGAATCTAACAGAAGCCAAATGCCAATAGCTATGTGGGGAGTAGATAAAAGCAAGACTTGTGTTTCTCCACTAATCTCTCCAACAACTACTCTATATTCTATCAAACCCCAAACAGAACACACACACACACACACACACAAAGATAAAAAGGGAAGACATCACCTGACTTGCACATCACCTATCAGTATATTCAACTGACATACACATCACCTAGGGAAAAAAAAAAAAAAAACGATACACACATCTTAAATTGGTCACAACATTGTACACATTTCACAGCTCATAATGACAACCCAACCATAGTGTTATTGTAAAACCCTAAAATTTCGTACATTATCTTTATTATTTAGTATTTAGTATTTTAATGTGATAGTAGAGATAATAGAGTTTTTCTTTTAAAATTTAAAACTTTAAATAAGAGTCCTAGGTTATCTCAAATGCAGTTATATTTATCCTTTATATTTTCACGTTGTATCAGTTCTACGAGGATTTATTTTAAAAAAATAATAATAATATTAGCACGATACAGCGTGATAGGACGGAGACCTAGAGAGAGTGATCTGACGTCGTGTCTTTCTGCAGTAGCCGAGGGAAGGAACGATAATCTGGAATTCGCGTAGGAAGGAAGAATTAATTATTATCCCAGGCAAGTTAATCTTGCATTGTAGTTCTATATATATTCGTAACTTCTTAAAAGATGTATATTTTAGCATATTTAATATGTTGTTGCAAGTTACTGATTAAGAATACAATATATATTGGTTGCATGAGTAGTTGTATTTAATCAAGTAATCTTAAGAGTCTTTACATTTCTTACGAAAAATGTTTATTGGTTGAATATGAAATTTAGTTTATTTCATTGTTATAATTTATAGTAATAATAATGATTTATATATGAATGTATCTATATTTACATGTTTGAGAATGAATGCATGTATGTAATTTGTAGAGTTACTTTGGTTATAATTAAGATGCGTGAACCTTTAAGTATATTTGTATTTGAGTATATAAAATTTCATATAATCTTAACTTTAAGTTTTGATTAATGACAAATCTGATCTAATGTAAATATATATATATATAGATGTATGTGCGTGTGTTTATGTGTGGACTGTTTGAAGTAAAGTAGTCTTCATGTGGTAGTTATATATTTATAGGAAGGAAATTCTTGTAGAGTTTCAGTCAAAGAGGGATTTATGTGGGTACGTTGGTATATGGCAGTGGTGTAGTCATTAGTACTGGGTCTTGGAGATCGTTATTTTGGGATTAAAAAATTATGGTGTTTAGACTAGTTTCATAAATTAATTCTCATGTGTATGTTAATAAATTAAGCAATAAATAATCCATGATTGTGGGATGACCTGTATTTAACAAAGTGGATTTGGACTTGGTTATGCATGGTTGGAAACACAACTTAGAAGTTGCTGGTTGAGCTCCTGGAAAGAATAATTTAAACTGGTGGAAGACTCATTTTGGGTGTTTTGATTTCACCCGCATTGGGCCATTGGATGGTGTATGGGGCGTGTTTGGACTAGGGTGTGAGCAGTTGGCCAACGAGTTAGGCTGTGTGGTCCATTAGTCAAGATCTAAATGTTAGACCATTTCTTTGTCCATCAGAAATTATTTATTTATTTATTTTTATTTAATAATTTAAACTGATTTAGAATTAGAAATAAATTAGGGAAATATATTATTAATGTTCCAAAAATTATGATATTTTTCACAATATTATTTTTATCATATGTGAACTGTTTGAAAAAGTATTATTTTTTCAATACAAAGACAGGGAGTACGGAAAAACTATTAAGCGATAGATTTTGAAATTTTGCAGGGTCATGTATCTAAGGATAGGCTATGTCTAGAAATTTTGTACTCCCACTAGTTAGGTCTTTAGGGTTCTGTTTTAAATTAAAAGTGTGTTTGGTTGTATTACTTATTAATTTATATTATTAATTAATAATGTTTCTCATAATTCACCATAATTAATAATGATGAGTTTGGATTAGTCGGAGGGCATTCAGGGACTGACCCTATGATGACTCCTGGGTATGGTCAGGGACCTACTTATTTGGGAGTGCACTACCCTTTTATTATGGCAATGGGTCTAATGAGCCCTTATTGTGTGGACGTGATCAGGGATCATCTGGGGAGTAGACGTACAATCCAGCCACACGTGTGTTTTTGGTAGTCAGGGACTATAAGATTCACACCATTTTATTGGACGGGAGCCCGGGGCTCATGTGAGATATGCCGATTTATTAAAAATAAAAGATGGTTATTTATTAAGTTTATAATTAACTGGGTTATACACATTTGAATAATGAACTTATTTGAGTTGCTTATATATACAGGAATATAAGGTAAGGTTAATTTGCTGAACGATAATTGTGTTTAGCATTCATTGCTGAGCTTGTGAGCTCACCCCATTATCACATTTCAGGTACACGTTGAGTAGGAACGTGATGAGATTACATGATGGTGATGGAATTTGGCTTGTTTGTCGTATTCTTTGGTTTAGTTCAATTTTCGCATTGTAATAAGAATGACGATATTTTTTTTGAGAGTTAGTTCATTTTGTCCAATTATCATGGATTATTTTTGACAAGGTTGTTTGATATTATGGTTGTATCGATTTAATAAATTAGAGGGTGGTTTACAACTACTTCTTTATTTAATTATTTTTATTGTAAGGTTGTGGTTGTGTAAAGAAAGTCATGCCAAATCTTAATACGAGACAAGAGTTCATGTATTTAGGATTTTGGGGCGTGACAGTTATACTAGCGGATAATTTCCATGACCAAAGAAAAACACTATATTGGGCAAGTACCAACAACCAACACATTGGGTTGTAGTTCATTTTGTTTTAAGATCACAAAGTTCGACTGTGCATCCATAATTGAAGCAAATGCCTGTTAATGCTCTACATAAAGATGCCTAAAAGAATGAGGTGTCAACTAGCTTGATGCATTATAAAAATTATTGGGATAATATGATCTCTACAATACTTCTAAAACATAGAGTTATATACCCAGGTTTATCACTAAATACAAACAATTTATTATCACACGAAGTCAGATACTATATGCATACAGGTTATCACTGGTCATCGCTAATCACAAATCTCCAATGATCTTATACTGCGGTATGTATAACACATCTTAAGGTACACGAAAATCCCCAAGATGGGATCCCTATTAGTAGGCTTTACGCCACAACTAGAAGCAAAAGCATGAACACAGAAACTACGCGATGCTTACCTTCTCATATAAAGATTTGGATTCAGCATACTGCTTTTTAATCTCTTGGTTCTGAGGCTCCAATCTCAGTGCAAACTCAGCATCTGTAGTAAGCTAAACTTAATATATCAGACAAATAAAAAAATACTGAAATGATTTAAACGGATTCATTCCCTTTACAAGTTCAACAACAAAAATACATAACACAGTAATTTAACATACCCTCAATGGATTCTTTAAGTTTCCCAAGTTCTTTTCTAGCTGTTGCTCGGCGTGAATATGCTTTAATGTAACGATCATCCAAATTTAAGGCCTCTGTACAGTCATCCTCAGCCTCTTGGAATCTAATTAAAAAGAAGATATATATATATATAATATATATATATATATATATATAAGACTTGATTAAAATCAAAAGAAGGAAAATAATATCTTAGGCTTCATGTAGATGGAATTTGCTTTTAAGAGCCTCGTTCATTAGAAGGTAAAGCAATATGTAAGGCTCATAAATCCATAAATATAAACATTATGTGGTCGTCACTGGCAGCCTTCACATTATAATGATTTGTGGCAGGTTGAGGTCAAAGCATCTGTAGAGATAGCTAAACTCAACAAAGCGTTTTTCCCAACTATTTGGGTGAACAAAAAGTTGAATCTGTGAAGTTATGGAATGATAAATATTTATATTCAAGTGATCTCATTGAGACAACTAAAAATTACAAAAAAAAAAGGAGGGGGGGGGGGGGGGGGTGGGGTCGTTGTCTAAAAGCATAGGCTAGCGGATTTTCAAATTTCAGAAGATGGAGAGCATGGGTGCCTCTAATTGATCACAATTTCATCTCATGATGCTGATATTAGCAAAAAATAAGTAAATGAATGTAAGGAGAAAAATAAAAAGGAATCCTATTGAGTAACAATGTGGCAGGGTATGGCATATTTTCTCTTCACTATAAAAAGTCCAAACATGGTGGCTTTGAAATAGTGTAAATTTTCTCTTTGTCCATTCTTTGCCGCTGAATCAAACAAAAAGAGGAAAGGAATCTATTTTTTGTCAGAGGTAAACTTTCCATCCCTCTACGTCCCCTTCCTCTCAATTTTCCAGCTTTCCTACCAAATGGAGTCTTCATTTGACTAAGATGGTTGAAAATTAGTTGATCATGTCAGCTGATCATATCATATCAGTGTCCTTTCTTGTGGGGATCAGATTTTAGATATGGTGGCAAAGGCAGCTGCGTGCGTAAGTGTAAATTGTTGACAAAAGCTAAATTCCTCTAGGGTGTTATTCTTTGTTTCATGGGGATGATTCTCGGTCATGAAGAGAGCTAGCTTCTATAGAAAAGCAATAAAGCTAGCTTAAAATTTTAGTGTTAACCATTTGAATCGTGTAAAAGGAGTTTTGTATGCTTAATATATACCAGGTACCCTTAAAATGTCTCTGAGATTGAAAATTTGCCGGAAGAATTAACAATTTTCTTCATTGTATCTCAATTTACATCAATTTCATGTCAATAAATAAAAAAAATAAATCAGAACAGAAAAAGAGAAGAGGAACTTGCCTCTTGATTTTAAGATAAGCCATAGCTCTATTTGCATAAGCTACTGCTGTTGGTGATAGTGCAATGCTCCTAGAATAGCAGTCAATTGCTTCTTTAAACTTCTTTTGCTTGAAATACTCGTTACCCTGTAATTTGACATAGTATCCATGTTTCAATGACCTGGTCGTGCCATAACATCTCGAATCATTAAAATTCTATCTCTAAAAAAAAAAAAAACAACATACCAGCTCTTTCTCTGAAGCAGCATCAGGAGAACTCTCTTCAGTCATGAAACTGCTTGAAAAATTGCCGATTGAATCAAGATTTCCCGAGTAATCATGTCTTGCAGTACTTGAATAATCAGCAGAGGATGTTTTCCCCATAATTCTTTTGTCCTCACTGGTCATTCCAATCTTCTGATTTGCATTACTCACGCCACCCCTTTGCATAGGGCGCTCCTGGGATATAATGGGTATTGATATACAAAATTAAATACGCTGTTGACAAGATTAGCTTCATAAGAACTTCAAATATACCCTTTTTATTCTCTAAAATGCAAACCTTCATATGGGATACACAAAATCAAGATACTTTGTTAGCGGCACCAAAAGAACAGATTGAACTTCGAACTTACAAATTTCCACAAACTAAAATTTCCATTCTACACTGTGAGGAACTAGCTGCAAATATATAAGCTTCATGAAATTTAAACAGAAGAAAGCTCTACATCTATTTAGTCCAGTTCACGATTCCAGTTTCCAAGATGAAGCTTTGCAAGTTGCAACAAACATAGAAATTTATGTGGGTAATAATATAACTAAAATTTTCCCTTCCCAAGAGCAATCTCGATTCCTTGTTTGGAAATTAAGAGTCATCATGAATGTTAAAAATTTTGAGGGTTAAATAATTACCAACTTTTGCTTGCCAGTAGCCTCAGGTTTCAGTTTCTTGTCTTTGTCCTGGCGCGACAGCTCCCAATCCTGCAAGTCGTTCAAAAACCCCTCGAAATCCTGGTCGGTGGTAAAAAAAAAAAAAAAAAGGGAAATGAAAAAAAAATAAACCAAGAAAAAACACTCCTTGTATTTGTTTTTCGACCACTGACATGCAAGGTTTTAGTAACACGCAAAATAGCCAACTTAGTTCTCTCACATACCAGAAACTAAGACCAGTCATCCTAAAACATTTCATCAATAATCTGAAATAATGAACAAAACTTAAATTCCATTCACTAAAAAAAATTACAAATTTTAAATATAAGTGGTATAATCAATTACTACCAATTCCGAAATTAGGAAACTGCTACAAGACCAAAAATAAAAGAAACTCATCCTTGCACCATTCTCAGTATTCAAATTAGCAGCAGAAATTCACGAGTTCTTTCACTAAATAATAGTAATAAGAAAAATCGCTCCATTTGATTGCTGATACAACATTTTTTGTAACCTTAGAAAACAATAAAAATTACAATAACAATAATAATGACAACGATGATCATGGCAACAACAACCAACAATTGAGAACAAAATTTTCCAATCGAGAATGAATGTTACGAGTGAATCTAAAGAACAGATATCGGATAGAGAGATACCAGAGCTTGATCGCGACCGTGCTTGCTCGGAACCCTAGCCATTGTTCGAGAAAGTTGAGATGAGAGAGAGAGAACTCGTATCGCTCGCTTTGACGTTTCTCGAATGTGAAGGAGCTCTGAAGATGGTTAAAGCAGATTTTGAAGAAACACACTCTTAAACCCTGTGTTATTCAGTATCGAAATAAAATAAAATAAAAAATAATACTAGTAATGTAACAAATAAAAATTTTAAAACTACTATGTTATTTAAATATATAGAAACTCTTACCCTCTAAAAGATTGTAATTTGTGTATGCCAATGGCCCAATACCAATCAACTCAGAGTTTAGTGAGATCTTGTTGCAGGGCTCTTTGATTCGAATTTGATTTAAATTCTGGACAGAAGCATTAAGAAATCTTGATCGAGAAGAATAGACCTATTATTATTATTATTTTTTTTAAGATTAACAGGTGCAAAGAGTCGAAGTCGGGCCGGAGGCACTAGCCACTGAGTCATTATTATTAGTGATGTTATAATGGGAATTTTTAATTTAATTTAATTTTTGATTTGTTTAAAAGGTGAACCTTAACACAAATTTGTGCAACTTATGAGACTAATCTAAACAGGTCTCACATATATATATATACACACACACGTATATATATTTTTGTTATTATGGTGTCTCATAAAATACTTCATAATTCATCACGAAAACAAGTCTAAGATTTGCATTTATTGCCATTCTAATTATTTGGCTTCACTACTTGATGGAAGAAACGCATTACTTTAAATTATATAAGTATTTATTTATTTTTTATATCTTTATTATTTTTGATTATTAAATTTCTCAAAGGTCCACTAATCATGATTAACATGGTTTACCACTGATTGATAAACCAACTTATAATTAGATTAAAATTCGTTTAATTAATGAACGAATAATAAGTAAAGTTTGATAGGAGTGGAAAAGGAAAAAAAAAAAAAAAAGTTCAAGGAGAAAAGAAAAAAAATAAAATGAGAAATGAGATAATAGATAAGTTATTATGTATGGTTGATTAATGAAAGAAAATAAAATAGAGGTAAAAAAAGAAATGAAATTATTTTTAATGAGTTTACTATCATAAATTTTGACTTGAACAAAAATAAGGGCAAATTTAATATTAACAAAATTTTAATCTTTCCTCCCGTTTTTTAAAAGAAGGATAACCAACACATCATACCCAATTTAGATCCTTTCGAATACCTCCATTTTTTTTTTTTTCCTTTAAAAATCTATACCAAACATGGTATGTCATTTCCATCCATTACCTTTCTTTTGAACACTAGATTGTGTTATTAAATGCCAACCCAAACTTAGTTTGATCATATCAATTTGCTGTAAGCAAAAAACTAAAACATGACCTCTTTATAAACTTATTATAGAAGCATTCCAATCTAACATCAACATATTTCAAAATTACCAATAGAACCAACAAAGTTTCAGAGACCAAACCAAGAAGGAAACAGAAACACATGGATTGCATTTTTTCAGGTACCAAACCAAGAAGGAACCAGAAACACATGGATTGCATTTTTTCAGGTACCAAATCAAAAGTACCAATAGAATATGTTTATGCCTTTCAAACTCCACCACAGGCACTGTTCTAGCTTCCATCATTTTAAATCTAATTTATGTACAATCTTCCACTAATCCTCTTAAATGAAAAACTAATTTTCAAGTGATAACAAAAGACACTCTTATGTAATCATTTCAAAAGTTCAAACTACACATTTCATAGTGAAATTCATCTCCAAGTGGTCTGAAAATTCCAGCCTCATCATCCACCAAGAGAGTAATAAAACGTATTGATGACAACTAAAATGCAGAATCAAGTAAAAAATACATTTTATTTACAAATGCAGACGCAGCAATGAACCTATCCAGTTAACAGCTCTCAGCAATGAGATAAGCATAAGCCCTCCACCAAAATTCACATTACAAGAGATGATAACATAAACAAGAAGAACTATCCATACGAAAACGCCTACTCATCAACAGGTTGTCACGGGCTGCATCTTTTCATGTATTGCCTTGTAGCATTGAAGGCTGCAAAGGGGAAGTTTTGACTTTGAATCCCTGTACTTGTATGGATTTGTGCAAGACGGACCAGCACATTTCTCACGCGGAGGAGGGTAACTGAAAATCCACATAAGAAAACCAAATCCAGGTAAAACAAATGGATGCTGTATCAAATTAGCAGCTGATAGTATATTCATACATCATTATAGAAAGATAGTGCTGAGAAGAAACTTAAACTAAATCCCCAAAAAACACTAAATTACTTCTATCATCGATAGCCATACCATTCTTTTAAAAGAAAAAAAACTTTTACAAGCTGATAACAATGTTTTGGGGTATGTAACTTCAAAAATAATAATGTTCTTTCAGGGACCAAATTACCCCTTTCCAAGATCTCCTAAAAGCAACTGACTGTGCTTCTTCACAAATTACTTCCATAATATATTTGGAATCTACAGGAAGAGAGTGGATTAATACCTGCAAGGCTTGGGATTAAATATGCTTGGCAGACCCAATTCGTTGGCGAATGTCACGACTGTCCCAGCGGGACCCATGGTCCATCTAACAGTGTTTGATGGAAGTGTCATAGCATTGGCAGCCCTCTCCTGCATCATATATAATTTTAAGTAACACAAACTATAGGGAACTCTCATTATATAAATAAGTATGTCTCTTAATGCACAACGCTTTACCTGCGCTATTTCCTCTTGTCGCTTCTTAATTTTATCCTCCCGTTTCTTCCTACTGGAATCTTGGCCCAATATTTTTCTGATTGCTTCTGCCTATAAAGTTTAGCAGGAAAAAGAACATATTTATTATTAGTATCATCGTCTATATGCACCAAAAGAATAAAAATGAATAGAAAATCCAAATAAGAAGAGCAAACCTCTGACTCGCGAGCTGCCTTCTCCATTTGCATCCTACGTCTCTGTGCAGCCTCAACTTTCTTCAGTTGTTGCTCCACTTCAGAGAGTTTCTCCTTTTGCTCTGTCACCAAAACAACCAACAAGAAGTACGAACCAGAATTCAATTAAAAATCAACAGAAGTAGTCCTCTCAAGGACCGAATGTAAAACAAAGGAATGCTTACTTCTAGGCGGAGCAGGAGGTAACCCATCTGGGTACTCGATTAAACTTGCACCAGATCTTGAAGAGATGTCTTTGCCAGTTTGAAGGGCCCGTTGGCGTGTAGTAACTGACACTTCCCTCTTTGGATCCCCTGACACATCCACAAACTCTTTTTTTTGATTCTTCCTCTTAGTTTCAAGCTCACCATCAGACTGTGGCTCATCCTCTTCCTCATAATCATTATCTTCATATGTTCTCCCTGATCTGGCTCTTCTTCCCTCCTTGCTTGATCTTGACAAGCCATAATCTCCTGCATCTACATTGTACCCACCATCAACAGTTTTGTTCAATACCCTTGAAATCTTTCTTTGCTTCCTGCTTCCCATATCCTCTTCATCATCATATGCACCATTAGCAGTAAGTTTGGAGGTTCTGAGCTTTTCAAGGTATCGGATCTCCTCATCGTCATCTTCATCATCAAACCCTCCACCTAACGACCGTCTTTTAGGGACACGCTTGCTCTTACGAACTGCCTCATTGCTGTTAGACTGCTTGGTAGAGACGCTGTCCTCAGACATCCTTCTTTTTAAAGAATCCATTTTCTTGACACTGAATCCACTTTTACTAAAATCCTTCCATGGAACTCCTCGCAAACCACTTCCCTTGTCCGGGGAAGGGGAATGATCCTCATCCGAATCCTGCACCAATGTAGAAGAGGGCTTCAGTTGAATTTAAAATCCATTACCTCTATTTCACATTCAGTTGAAAGCAAGGAAAAAAAAAACTATAAGCCTCTAGCCGAAAATTTTCTCTCTTTCTCATACCATGTAGCTACTTCTACTTTTCTAAATTATGATCATGGAGAAATAAATGTTCCCAGCATGCGTATATACATGATGAATTACCTGAATATATTTCTTTTTTTTTTCCCATGCAAGTAGAATCAAAACACATTCTTTCTCGAGTGTGTATGCTTGAGAGTTTAGTTACTAACATTTAGCTAAAGGTCAAATTTTAACAAATATAGGTACTTGTAGAAAGGTGATGGCTTGGGTATTCAAACCCTAGCCATCACATTTCTAGAATTAGACACATAGAACCATGCACAAGTGCTGCCAGTTAGCTAATGTTATTTTGCCCCGAAAATATCTTAAGCACACATCACACAAGAATCTGTCTTTAATTTCATATGTTCGACACTGACAAGATTCATTAAGTGCATGGGGAGTACCACAAAAAGGAAAAGGCCATAATGAGGGCACTAGTTCACATTGAGAGTGCCGTCATGATAGACAGAGTCTTGCAGAAAAGCAACAATATTAAATGATCATGACCAATTGAACTAATAAACACAAAAGTCACAACAAAAAATCTCTCAGCCAATTTGGATCATTTAATCCAACAAGTCTTGGATTAAACATTCTTTGCATTCAATGCACCATATTAAGCTTGATACACTTTTCGAATTATAAGGAAACAGGCAGGGTAATGACAAATGGACTCAATTTTCCTCATTCTATGAGACATAGTCACAAGAACAATTTTGTTTGCATTGATCCACTGTGTAAATATTTTTATTTTGTACTAGTTTGGAGCCACCGCAATAAGTTATACCAAAATTCCATAAGTAGCAATTGAGATTACCTGAAGAATAAGCTTCGGTCGAGGACGAGGAGCATCTGAAGAGCGATAAGATTTTGTTGAAGATGTCCCACCCACGGATGTACCATCAGATGTGGATGTAGGATGGATTGTACGTGTAACACCGCCAACCTTAAGCTTTACCTTTTTAAGTTTATTATCATTTCCAAGTACATCTGAAGCTACTCCTGATTGATTGGAACTGTAACCACCACTCATCCTTCCACTTGTTTGGGTATCTTTTGTTTTTGACTCCAATTTGAGATTTTCTGCCACCTTGCTTGTGCTTTTCCAATTAGCTGGGGAACGGACACCCTCAACACACATTTTGGAATCAATCCCACCATGCTTCTGCTCACTATTGCCTTTGATGTGGGTTTCACTGGACTCCCTGAATCTTCCATCTTTGTTGTTGCTCTTCAGGTCCATTTCCGCTTCTGCAAGGTAAGTAGACGAAGCCCTTGAACTGCATTGGTTCAAACTCTGTTCTTTTCTCCGAGAATGTGTACCATGGCCAATATCGTCATCACTTGATGCTTTGCTCACATTGTCAGAGGGTGGTGTAGATGACAATGATGAATTGTCACGATAATCTGGCAAGGGCTGAGATTCATTCCGAGGACGCCGAAATGCATTACTCCTCTTCTTTCTCATTGCTTTGCTCACATCACCGAATCCAAAACCTTGAAAGCTTTCCATATTTGCAGAAAAAGCTTACACCAAAAACGTAGATTCGCTGCAAATTCCCACATCCAGGTAAAGTAAGGCAAAAGAAACAATGCTATAGCCTATATGTAACAAAATTTAATAAGTCAAGTATTAATAACCATAACCAATATCAGTAAGAAATGGAAAAATTATAATTTAGCACTCATCACAAACAATCCTGGAATAGAACTCGTTTCCCATTCAAGTAACTCAATTGTTCGTGAAAAACAAATTACAAGCAAACCAAGTTGATATTAAACCACAAACCGAACAAATAATGGTTAACACACACACACTGTAAAGGAAAGGAGATGCCAAAAAATTAAAATAAAATTATAACTGTGGTTCTTTCCAGGAATATTGGAAAGCGTTAAAACCAAACATATAAGTAAATCACAAAAAAAAAATTATTCAAGAACACCAAATTGAGGTCATACTAATAAAATATAACAACATGAACCAATCATAGATGAACCGATTATGAAAATTTTATTTATAATAACAGATAAAAACATATGAACTCGTCCAAGTGCAAAATCGAAACCATTTTGACTCATGCCCCAAAACCAAAAAAAATAAAGAAATAAAAAACAAAAATCAAAACATACCCGGATAAGAAACAGAACAAACACATTGATCCGTCCCAGAAAAAGGAAAAAACACATCCGCTACAAGATCATTGCAAAACACAGCATAATTTCGAAGAAATCAACAAGAAGAACAAAAATAATAATAATCAACAACTACAAAATCGTCGTAAACAAAACATGAGTCTGATGGAACCCCATTTACAAGCAACTCAAAATCAAAACAAATCCGACACACCCACATCCAAAAACGAACAATTTACCTTGTGGGTATTCACCAAAAACCTCGAAACCACCGTCAAGAGAACCCAAACAGACCTAGAAACAGATTGCGGAGGGTAGAGAGAAGGTAAGGGTTAAAAGGTATCTTGGTAGGTTTGAACCAATGGTCTGGTCAAATTGGTGAGGAGAAATTGGGGGTATAATGAGGAGACCCAGAGTGAGAATCAGGGTTGTAGAGTTAGATTTAGGGTTAGGGCTAGGGTTACGAAGATGAGGAGAAAGGTAAAGCAACAGAAGAGGAGGCATAAAGATAAATATCTTCTGCTGCATCATAAGTGTTGGTGACACCTTGTAGTTGTACCCTACGGTGTCGTTGTTGTGGTCAGCCCAATTATCCATCTCCCTCCTCTTTTCGACCTCTTGGGCGGGTTCAATTTTCCTTGCAGACATGTGCGTATGATAACGGCTGCGCACCCCCGGCGTATTTTAGGCCCTTCGTCTCGTCTTCCTGAACCTGAAGATTCTCTTTTCTACGTTTCTTCTTTGTGAATTGTGGAGTCCGTTACCCGCGGGAGGACAAAAGAACCTTGTTTTTGTTTCGTGTAATGGACACGTGTTAGGTAAGGAGGGATGGTATTCTCACCATTGTGGTTATGCCGTTATGGTACGTAGAATGTTAAGTGGGTTAATTTTTTGCTGTAACTTTTTGCTTTTTTACTTTTTATTTGTGTTTGTAATTTTGTATAGCTTTATTGACGTGTCCTATGACATGCACTCAGAATGATAAATGTTGAAGAAAGAAAAAAATAATAATAATTAAGAGAATTATTTAATAATAAAATGAAAGGAATGTAATTAATAATCCTAGTATTTTAGGTGTTACAAAAGAAAATAGTATTCTTGTATAAATGCCTCTTAAAGTGGTCATGTTGAGGGACGCAAAATATCCATCTTATTTTAAGGTTTTTGGATAAGTACGAATTTTAAAACTCGTTCTAATATAAAGACAAAAAGAAAGGTTATCTATCCCGCTCCGTTATATATATATATATATATATATATATATATATATATATATATATATTATGGTAATAATTAGAGGAGAAGGGTACAAAATTTACCATTTTATTCTTGTACCAAAAAAAAAAAAAAATCGTATTTATTTGATACAATTACAATTTTTATTTGGTTTATATTTCTACATATGAGTTCTTAAAATTTGTGTGAAATATTAGAAAGAAAACAAAAATTGAGTTGGAATTTAAATGGGATTATGAGAGTAGATGAGGAATTTAAATAGCTGTGAGGATCGAGTGTAGGAGTTGTTTCATAGATAATTTTGAAAAAAAAAAAATGAAAGAGGGAGAACTTAAACATGGATGGGAGTGGAAATGGTCCATCCTAAACTCTCCTATTTCAATCTCATGTCTCCTTTAATTCTTGATAATATTGAATTCATCTGTTTTTACTTATTTATTTAATAACTCCTCTAATTTAAATTAGCAAGGACATCTCAGATTCTCAGGTAAGAATTGAGAAAAATCTAAGAAATAAAATAAAATTCATAAATATTTTTATTATATAAGTCAAAAATGTAAAAATGAGAGTAAATTGTTTAGTCCAACACTCCATTACTCCCTCGCATTGTCGCATGTCAACCTAAGACCTGAGTAGTAGTAGTAGCGGTGATACCGTAAACACAAATCATAATCAAATTCCGATTCACTAAGTAACAGGCATTAGTGTTACAAATTACAATACATGACCCAAGGTACACATATATAAGTCAATATTTATGACTATATATATATATATATATATATATATAGAAAGAGATAGTGATAATTTTAAAATAAAATTAATTTACAAATATAGAATATAAGAATTAAGCAAATAATTTAGTAGAAAAAATATGAAACATATATAGAATTCTATAAATAATGAGAAAATTCAGGGGAGCACTTTCCATATTTTTATAAAAAAAACATATATATTATTATAAAATATATATAGAATATAAGAAAGGGAGAAAATTCATGGGGCATGTGCCCCCTCTGGTCCTTAACTGCCTCCATCCCCGGATGATGTTACAATACGTTACCAAGGTCAAGTCTCTCTCGGGTCCTCGTTTGGCTTTTGCACACTTGTTTGAGTGCATTAGTCCAGTTTGTACAAATTTGGCCTTCCAACAAGGAGGTCAGGAGTTTAAGTATCAGCGAAGACATGCGTGTGATATTATTTTACTAAAAAAAAAAAAAACAGAGTATTCTATCATTTTATATAATTAACTGAAAAAGATCAAATTGTTGTGGAATAATAAGGTAGAAACAGTAGAATAGGAGTCTTGTGGTATTATGCCATACATAGGATATATTCTAGATTTTTTGTTCAGGATGTGAAAAGCCTATATAAAGGCAATTTGACATGGACCAAATATTTAAAACCATTGTTATTACAATTTAAGGATTAATTCATTATCATGTTGAAAATACCCTCTTACCATATTATGAAATACTGCAAATTTATTAGTGAACAATTAAGAAATATTAGCCGATCTTTTCTTTCTCACATTTCCTTCTAAAACTGAAAGATTTAGAATGAGAAACAGGTTCGACTGGCTTTCTCAATTTTTTTGGAAATTTTTTTTACTAACTCTTAATGGCTAGTTAATTTGTAAATTTTTCCTCTAAATCTATTAAAAATTTTAATTGGCCCCCAATATTTTTAATACATATTATTGACCAGCCAATTTTTTTGAAAATTCTATTAATAGCCTCTAAATATTAATTAATTTATAGATTTTGTCCCTAAGATTAATTTAAAATTTCAATTGGCCCAAATCTTTTTCAAAACACATATATATTGACCCAAAATAAAGAGTTTGAAAATAAATTTAATTTTGTGTCTCTTTGAAATTTAAATATTTTTCAACTTGCATATTTTTAACTATACTTTTAAAAACTCAAATATTATGAAACAAAAATTTAAGCTCATTATTATTATAGTTGTTATCTCAACACATTGTTTTTTTATTCATATATACAAGAACAATATCTAAAATATTAATTCAAGAGCGGTAAAAAAGGAATAAAATAATTAATGTTCCATCACATTTGGTAAGAATGCATGAAGCATTTTTTGTCAAATATTTTTGTAAAATGATATTTATAAGAAAAATATCTAAAATTATATAACAATATTTATTGGCAAGTTTTACGAATAAAGAAGATAAATTAAAGTATTGTGAGACTCTCAATAACAATAATAATATCATCTATATACTTTTAGTTATTACTTTCTAAATAACAAATTTTATAACTATTTGTATCTTATTTAATAACTCAATAATAATCTTTTTGATTTTTTTTTTTTTTTTGGTTAAAAATTGAGTTAAAATTCATTATGTTGTTGAATTGTGGAATGTACTTAATTTTCTTCTTTAAAAAATTAAAACAATTGATAAAGAAAATTTGATTTTCTAACTATACTTATTTCTTTACATTTCTTCTCTATAATTTTCTTCTAACATCAATTTTTTTTTTTTTGTCCAAGTAGTATTTTTTTTTTTTTTTTAAATTTTATCAAGATATATATATATTATGACGAGTATTTAAAAATAAATTATATCCCCCAATCTTAAATTTTTGACTCTGCCCCTGACTAGCTTCTTGCTTGATGATTGAAACACGAGTCCTAAGTGGGATCATGGGTAGGCGGGTGAAGCATACCGCGATAAAGGCTTAGAATCAGATTCTATAGTGATGTCTTTCCCTCAGTCCGAAGAAGAGGCGACTTCATCGGAACACAGTCTTGTTTTCAATTCCACCAGATCTTGTTCATACGCCCAATAACATTTTCGATTCCACAAAATATTGCTTTACATTTATGGTTTACATATCATCTAAATATGTTATCTCTGCGAAATAGAGTAAATAAAACATGATAGTAAATTTTTATTTATTTATTTATTTTTATTTTTGACAAAACAAAACAAGAGCCGAGGGAGGTTTGGAGAAGATCCAATAACACCCTAAATTATGTATTTTGAAGAAGACAAGACAATTAATGTTTCAGTTTAGGCGGATTGATATATCTATATATAACTATAGGAATAGTAAAGATAAGAGATGTAAGAAAAGATAAGAGATGTGAGAGGGAAGATGATAATTTTTGCTAGTTAGTAACAATGTAGAGTACATCCAAACAAGGTGCCAAGGGTGGCTTTTGTCCAAAGAAGGTGCAAGTCCTAGAGCTGGATGAGCTCTGAATTTTTACATTTTTCTTTACATCAAAACTTTAATTTACTTTATGGTTTGCAATCGCGATCACGGTATTTATTACAGTGTAACAAATTCGGACAAAATTAATATAAATATAAATTAACAAATCTTAAAACTCGATACGACAAACCATGATGTACTTAAAGTTTATATCCTTTATTTCAACTTTTTTCTGTACAACAAATATACCTTTATTTTAACAGGTTTGATTCTATAAATATATAATATAAATAATACATAGTAGCTACTTCCTATACAAATTTATGTGCTGATGCAAATTCCCTGCTTAGTATTGTTTTGATGATACCTTTTGTATAGACTGGTTTGCAAAAATGATTGTAATATTGCAGATTTATGCTTTGCAAATATCATAATGGTAGTCTTTAATCTCGTGTAAAAATCGAGAAAAACAGTGGATGTAAAATAAAGAAATATATATTTTACTACCTATTTTAAAAAAATTTCAAAATGAGAGTAAATTGTTTAGTCCAGGTTCAATTACTACCATCAGACATAAATCATAATGAGTTCATACTATATGTAAATAATAGGTGTTATAGAATTATTGCACCTATTTTGAGAATCGTAAATTTGATAAATAAATGATAAGCCACAAGGAAAAATAGAGACACCATGTAGACTTTTGACATTCCAAAAATCAAGAGGATGCTCTAAGACTGTAATTAACAAGGGTCAGTAAAATGATGTCAAAATTACGGTCATAAAAAATAAAAAACTACATATTTTTCATGTCTAAAGAGATTTTGAAAGCTAAATGAGGGAGATGAGATCGAAATGATGTTTGACATATGAGAAGAAAATTTTACCTTGTATAATTAAAACTAAATTTTCTTTTTCTGCTCCAAAAGAGTGATGAATTATGTACCTGAACCATACTTGCAAATTCCATTTTAGTGCATATTCTATATTTCTCATTGGGATGTAATGCAGTAATGTACATGTATAAATCTATTTCACCTAAATAATTCATATTTACCCCAAAATGATAATTTTTTTTATAAAAATATGTCATTCACACGTATAGTTAAATCTATATAGAAGAAAATAACAAAATAATACCTAAAACAATGAAACTGCTTAATCAAAACAGATATTACAAAATGATATCAAAATCAGTGAAACAAGGATAGTATTTATTATTTAAGCATAGCCCAAAGATGTTGCAAGAGACTTTGTAAATTATTTTATAGGCAGAAAAAAAAAAAAAAAGAAACCCCATATATGACTATAGTGGATTCACGGGATG